AGTACTCTTATTAGTTTGTGCTTATACCTAAATAAATAGAATGGACTCTATGGATATTTGGACTATACCCGTAACGTCCATGCTATTTATGTATCATATTAATATAATGCCATTATCATGCATCATCATTAAAGCCCTTCACATGTCCACTGCTGAACATAGGAAACCCAAGGAATGCCACACTCAACACCTTGAGTTTGAGTTATTAATTAACTTCGATTGCCATTAATTTGCGTCGACCAGTGGCATTTGTAAATCGAATTGAATATCGTGCGAAGTAATTTTGCTTGTCGTTTGGAACGCTAAATTTTGTGACCCGGATGGATATCGCGTTCGATTATAGTTTGTGCTAAGTGACGTCAAAATTGAGTTTAGATAATGTTGATGCGGGCAACGCATGTGGTTCTGCTGATCGATTACATCGGTGACGTCAGGTTACATTACACACCTTCCTACACCACTCACACCTAACATTTACTTGCCCCTGACGGTAACTTGTGGTCAACCCTACCTCCGGAACTCGGTAAGTTTGTGTTTGCTTATACAGCCATTATAAATTAATTACCCATAAGCCATTTTAGCCCGATCCCTCGGTTGCTCGTCGAGTTGAGTTACGATGGGCCCCAGCCCAGTCGACTTTTATCGGGGCAACTGAGAGCCGTAACAATTGTGGTTAATTTTTATTGTGGTAATGAATTAACATAACTGGACTGGAATTGTTTAATTTTTTAATTAATTATATTGTTTAAGCTTTAACTTAATCGATGGCTTAAGTACAGTCTTATAAGGTAATAGTTATTTTGTAATGGAAATTATAGTACGAGATCCCGCTGCAAAATCACTACTTTCATTACGTCGTGAGTCAAAGACACATTTTTATATACGTTTATGAATATGAGAATTCACTGATAACAACCAGTCAAAAGTGGCCGCAAGTAATTTAACTTAATTAATAATAACTAATATTCCAAAAAAATTCGTTCACTTCTCTTTCAAAAAATATCATCCACATCATAACAATGCATGTAAAGAATTCTAAAATTCATAAGTGCCGTTGCTACCAACTACCTCGCAGCTAGGTGTAAGCAGGTAATATTTTGATCTATTTAAACGTTCATGACTTACTCGGATGTTTTTATATCAAATTAAAGCTATTTTTTTCTAATATCATCATATTAGAAAAAAGAATATATTGCTGCCTGTGAAAAAATAGCCACAAATTAGCAGTGCGGTCTGTTAAAAACGCGAGATATCCGAGATAAAGTGAGAGAGAGTTGGCGCGCAACGCCACTTGTTAGATGAGGATCACGAATGCCAGCCTCATCTAACAAGTAATAGTCAAAACTGTTATCAAAAAATTGGAAGAAGTTAGCAAATGTCTAGTTCATTTGTTATATTTTTTCCGATGATGATGAATACTATTATGATCTTTAAATGTTTCTTAAATGTTTTTTAAATGTTGGAGTGGGACCTAATTAACAATTTAAACGTAGCTTTTATATCATCTACTCTCTGATTATAGAGAAAAATTAACAAACAACACAAACGAAATAATAGTTTTTTGGCGGTGGAAGGAAAAGGGGAGATCTCCCGCCGGGCAAGGTGTTCTACCCGGGGAGCGGCCAACACTCCATGAGATTGTTCGGAGCTGTTCTTTATATACTGTTTTTGATTCGGAAATTTGATATCGCGATTTAGGCTTCGCGGTATTTCGCTTGTGCCGCGAAGACAGCACCGCCACAGACTTTTCCGTCACCCTTGTTCACAATTGTCTCGTTAAATATCAAAATCCGTTACGTCTAAGTGAAACGGGGGAAATTAATGCTATAAATACACATATGTGTTTAGGTGTAAGATTTTATGATTTCTGCTGTTTTGTATAATTTAATAAGACTATTTTCTTAGGAATTTGCATATAATGTAATTTAAAAAAAAACTAATAAATTAATGATAGAATAAGCTAAAAAAGCGGGTTAAAGTTTGGACATACCGCATTTTGATGTGTATGAGCTAATTATATCGGTCTTTGAAAAAAGTTATACTGGTTTACTTTGATTACCTAAGTTTGATTGACATCATTGTAATATCAGAGCAGCTGACTTGTGGTATTTTAAGAAATACATCAGTATATTTATTTTTATAAATGAAACAACGATTTTAAGTGACTCAAAATATCTTATTTATTTAAATAACACCTCTTCCACTTCATAATCATGCGAATTATTTATTATTTCCTCTTCTCTCTTTTCAGTTAGGTCAACATTGTTTTGTTTAATATTTTTATAAAATTGAATTTCGGGTATCTGATCCTGTTGAGGTCCAAAATAGCATTACTACAAATGCAAGTAAACATGTAAATCTTGTGTTAAGTGCATTTAAAGTGTAAGGTCAACACCAGATAGAAAGCAGAAGAAAAATTACGATTTTCAAAATTGAAATTCTGAAATTTTATTTAGGTATAGGTACCTATATGTAAGTAAGAAAACCACAAGAAGCAGATTTCTGATTAATAATTATTTAGATTGGTTAAGCAATTATTATTCACACCCTGTTTTTAAACCTTGAACCTACGTTTTTACTGCATAATCCTTTCCGCCGTTACGCTAAAATAAAGGTTATTTTATATTATTCATAAAATTTTAAATTATCATTACTCAATAAAACGATAGTATCAATTTTCCAGCTGAGTACGACCCTATAGTACAAAGTCGGTTACAATACAATTAAACTTATCTAGGTACTGTTTCTATCTAGATATTGACACAGTCTTTTTCCTTACCATATCTGGTTCCACCACATTTAAACCAACACTGTTTTCATTTATTTTGTTCAAAATAATTTAATAAAAACTACGAGGGCAAAGTGTTTCGCTTCTGATAACTCATGCGAATAGCAGCCATCTTTGTGCTATACTTTACTCTGATTGGCCGGTGCGGACATGCTTGATATTGATAAACACTTGTCAAAGGACTTACACTTACTTTTCATAGAGTTAATTGACTTACCTTATTTCGGTAAAAACGAACTTATTAGGTTTTTAATTTTAAATTTGGCGCCATTAATAGTTTAATTATGAGTTTTATTATGAGTTTCGACTGCATTAAATGCATTGGTACAAAGCTCTCTGTCAAACCATCTGGCAGTAGAGCTTTTGCTCTCTTGTCAAAGCGGTCGAGACAAACTTCTGTCGGTCTACACTGCCTCCGCTGGTAAAACCAGATGGCTCACTGGCGCATGCGCCTAAGGAGAAAGCGTACTTATTTGGTTTTTTTTGCTTGCAATTTGCGTCTGGAGAGTAGCAACAGCGTAACATCTTAAATACTTCGCTGCGGTACCTCTATGTCAGAGTTCGGTATCACCAATAAGGAGGTTCTTAAAACCTTGCGTAGTCTAGACGTGAACAAAGCTAGTGAACCTGATGGTAGGTATACGATATATGGAAGTTTCTCAAATCTCCTGGTATTGGTAAGCACTCTAAAAAAAGACATAAAATTTCTTTTCCTCTTAATGACCTTAATTCCCACTTTTAGCTGGTTCTACGTTCTCTCCTAGTCCTCTACAATTACAGAAATTTCCTCCTTGGCCACATCTCAACATGAACCATTTTCTTTCTTGTTTGTCTCTGTCGACGAAGTTCATAAAACTTTTGTATCTATTAAATCCAAATCTATTTTTTGATTGTGATAATTTGAATCGCCTCATGATCTCTTCTGTTCTCGTATACTTCCTCTTAGTCTAAACTCACATAACTAATTTTTTTTCAGCCGCCTTAAGACCGCTAAGTAAGACTTAGCTAAGAGCGATAAGTAAGACTTAGCAGTCAGCCGCCGTAGAGTCTACATCTCCTGAAGATGCCTCGTGTAGAAGCGAAACACGTGTCGTAATATCGTCGATGGTGTGTCTTTCCTGGAATAGTGGTTTTGGAAGTAGTGGTGTCGGGAGTATTGGTGTTGGGAGTAGTGGTGCTGGGACTAGTGCTGGCGAAATTAGTGCACACAATTGAGGGAGAGTGGGAGGTGCTCTTCCGGGTAAGACACATCATTGTATTTAATTAATGCTGATGGTTGTAAATTGGATATTAATCTTTATCAATCTCTTTAAGTAAATCAGAACAATCTAATTTGGATAAAGCCGTTGATTAAAACTACTTTTACGGATTTTATCGTGTTTATTTTTATTTTAATTATTTTTATTTTTAATTCCCGACGTTTCGGGTGGTTTCCAGCACCCATAGTCACGGGGGACTGAGGTTACTGACGTCCCGATATCATTGACAAACCCGGAGTACCTTCAGCTTTTTTAATTATTGTTTATGGTCCGATCTATGCAAAATGAACTGACTATGTCCTGAGGTCTTGCGGTGGTTTAATTTTAATTTTATTGATTATAGGGTCCCAAGCAGGTGTTAATACCCAGCCTCCTTCTCTATTGAAATTAGGAGATTAATTTCAATAGCCTCACGTATCATCCTTTGACAGATTCGATAGACTACAAATCCTCGCGAAAGAACACCGATTCCTACCAAGGATGATACGTGACAGCCTCGAACAGCAAGCAATACGCCCCCCCCCCCCAGTATCGTTCGCTTTGTCTTTACATATTACCGTGTAACCAGGAGGGGAAAGTTCGCTATCAAATACTGAACTAGTTAAAAAGGTCTCGGTCAACTCTATGATATCATATTCACTATGTGTAACATTGTCCATAAATGTACGTGTTTTTGATCTTAGGCCTCGAACATTCTGATAAAAAAATCCTTAACTCACGCACTCTCAGAAGACGCTTGTTGGCTGTTGATTTTGGTACGAAAGTTCTGACGCCAAGGCTTCACATATATGCCTTCATCCCAGTTGCCAGATGACATGACAGTTTCAGCAAGTTCAAGAGGAATACCGGGCTTAGAGCTTAAAAGAAGCATGAGAAGAATGATGTCGATTCAGGCGCTGCGGTTCCTCTAAGTAAGCCAGGAAACGAAGTATGAGATCGTCTGCGTCTCACCTCTACCTATTTGCCTTTATCAAGGTTATCGAGTCAGGATCGCTAGCTGCATGAGTAGATATAGAAAGAGACTTCTGCATAGTTCTATCTGCATCAGGTACTGAATCTGCGAGCGAGGTACTTGGTTTTTGTACGACGGGCTTCGCTTTCATCTGCGACTGAGTTTTAGTTTTACTACCAGCTTTTATTGTTGTTGTATTTAAAGTCAAATTCTTAGTTATTGCATCCTTATAAGTGTCTGCTTTTGTCATAAGCGTTACTTCTAACTGTTGAATTTCAGTCGTCACCATATTGATCTTTTCAAAAAATTAATTTTTAGCGCTAAAAATTGGTCAGCAAGTAATTTGTTAATTTTTTTAATAAGCTGCTCCTCGAAATTGGCTTGCATTTTCCTCAGTTCCAGTATGACAATTTCCTTCATTTCGTTCAGAACATAGTTTGATGTCAGGTTCTGGTTAAGAGATTGCTTAAACCGGGTTCCACCACGGAGCATATTGACATTTTCGGTCAGACTAGACGTACTTTGGTCTAAGATTTGATGCGTGCGTACAGGGGTTTGCGAATTATTGCCCTTAGGCAGTCTTCTGCCATATTCAACTCATATCCAGGACCTATTAAATTCCACCGAAAAAGTAGCAAACTTTTCAGGACTAAAATTAGCACAAAATATGTCGAAAATTTGCCTACATTGAGTATACTTCATATAAGCGCTGTCTTTAGTCACAATGTTGCGACATCCCGCGCAGGACGATTCGGTTGGTGTCATCTTAGCGCTGTAGTTAATAGTACTTAATACAGCAATACGTAGCGAGCGGCAGTGGCGGCGATCGAGCGAGCGATCCGCGAGCTGTCGTCGGTCAGTTACAAGACCGTTGGACAAAAAATTTTAAAATATTTTTTGCTTGTATATTGCGGTCACATTAACTTGACGCATCGCAGGAATGCGAGGCCCCACCCGCTAGTCCCCGCGCTCCCTTAGCTCGCCCGGCAATCGTCAGTATGGTTAGCATCTCTGTTACACCGTTGTAAATGACGTCATTAGTATATAATAGTAATTTCAGTGTCAGTGGAATTACATAGTAATTTAAGTAATTCCACTCACGATGAAATTTTAATATAACCACTGGAATCATGAATTCATTAGCTTTAAAATAAATGTTAACACAACTCTAAGCGCGAACTTTAACTAATTATTATGACTGTTTCTTTACGGAGCAATTTAGCAAAGTATGTTTTTTAATCAACCTTGACGAACAGTTGGGTAAATAAGAGTGGCACCACTGTATCTATAGCCTAAATTTTAAAAAACTTGTTATAATTTTTTTATTGCACAGACTTTCACCATAATTCTTTTTACAATATTTATTTTATTGCTTTCAAAATTTTTATTTTCAAAATCACTCTCAACGTATTTTACGGCGATTTATCATACCCCGTAGCTACTCGAGCGCTGTTGTGGAGAGTCTTTGACATGGAGGTTAGAGAACAGGAGAACGATCACTATAGTCCGTTCGCGTTAAGAAAATAGTGAGTCATCGTTGTCCGCCGGCCTGACCACGCCCCCCAGCCAATTAAAATGCAAGAAATTAGAAAGTCGAGTTCACAGTGACCAGTTGAAGTCAGGCCTAATATTTAATAGATGAGACTGCCAAAAGTAATGGCATTACAATTCTTCGCCTACCGCCTTACCATTGCAAACTTAATCCAATTGAATTGGTTTGGGCCCAAATAAAAAATTATGTTGGTGCCAATAACTCCACGTTCAAAATGAGTGACATAAAAAATTATTAGATGACGCAATAGCATTAATAGACGCTAATAGTTGAAAGAAGTGATGCGACCACGTGATACGCGAATAATCCAAGAATTTTGTTCTGCAAGTTCCAAGATGACATCATGGAACTTGCAGAACAAAATTCTTTCATAATTAATGTATTAATGTAACGGAGATACTAGATAAGAGAGATCTAGCGATACTGATTAGTGATTTAAGTAATTTTTAAAAATTTTGTTTCCATTAAACTTAATTAAATGTTTGGAAAAAAAAAGAATTTTTACTCCTCTGTGAATACACCTTTAACCCTGTGGTTGCACTAATGACTCACTATTTTCTTAACGCGAACGGACTATACGTACTAAAGCATAGCCCGCCTATCCTTGAAAATTGTAGAATTTATAGCGGCGCTGACGTCGGTGAGTAGTGACTGCGAAGTTTGCTGTTTATGAGTACAAGTAGATGAAGTTAGTTCAATAATGTACAAATTTTCTCCGCGGCGTTGGTGAGAAAATTTTCATGCTCCGTAATTTTGTAATTTTTGATAAAAAGAAACATAAAAAAATTGAGAAATATTTTATTACCACGCATAATATAAATGTGCAAGTGCTTTAGCATCTGATTGGAAAAATAGACTAAAATGACTTTTATTGACCGAACTTAGCGATCGCAGCGCCTCACTTATGGTGTCCATATTTCTGGGACACTATTTTCTACGGCGATCGTTTTCCTGTTCTCTAACCGTCATAGTTTTTGAACTGTTATTTACTGCAGATGTTCTCCTGTTCTCTAACCTTCATAGTTTTTAAACTGTCATTTACTGCAGATGGACACGTTTTCAACTATTCTCATAAGGGAGATTGTTCTCCTTACCTCTATACTCCATGGTCTGGTATATAGTCTATATATGTTCGTTAGTGTATAACGGTTTATATCATAGATAAATAAATAGGTTTATATCGGATCGGATTTTGTACCACATCTCTATAGTATATATTCAGTAATCTATGGTACCACAGCCACAGAGTTTCTCTGTCTTCGCCGTAGACAGAGATTTTTCTGCATATATTACTCTACTCTATGACACTATTACTCCATTACTTCCAAGGCCCGGTCAACTCTGTATGGACAGAATGAAATACCTACGGGGGCTGAATTTTATTATTGCCATTTGTCAGATAAATGTCTTGTTTCATAATTAGTTAAATTTTGCTAAAGATTAATTACACTCAAAAATTTTTAATATAGAAATAATAATCCATAGGAAGATAACTATACCTGTCGTATTTTTCTCCGTTATTATATTAGCATATCCTTGACAGTAAAAGAAAAATAAATGTTTTCTTTTTGTTTTGATATTCAATGAGTAGAAAATTATATTTTTTACTGGCACTAAAATATCTAAATGAGTATGATTCTCATTTCTCATAATATGGCGCCGCCGTATATATTATTGTTGTTCATGAATGGTTGTTATGTTTGTTTTGCTTGTACCTTTTTCTAAGTTTTTGCAAGTTTACGATGTTGAGTTGAGATTAATGTCCGTCGTTTATATGATGTGCAATGTGATAGTCAAGGATTCGTAGTGAAACACGAAATAGTGACTCTAAAAACTACGCTGCAATAGCGGATAAAGAAAATAGAAAAAGTGTTCTAAGTGCAACAGCTTACGAACCATTGACAACATTAAATTATTTAAGTTTCCGAAACCCGCCAAGTAAAGTATAGAAATTTTGCGGTACGTATACAATATACATATACACTATATAATAAGTTCTAACCTTAAAGTAAATCTCTTGTCCACTTTATTGTTTCTCTTTAACCATTTAAAAACTAATTATTGGTTTGTAAACCATTGGACCTACTTTGATAATATTTGTATTTAATAATTATATCTTTTGTTTTCAGCTGTAAATTGTGGGCGAAATATTATATTCCTTCCCAAGTGCGGTATACTACTTTAGCTTTCCAGACAAAGCTACATAATAAGCCCAGAATGCTGTGTGAAAAACATATTCATGATGGTTAATTTAATGATGCAACCAAGAAAAAGCTCTTGAGAACTGCAGTCCCATGTCATGTAAGTAAAGTGTAGTGTATATGGTATGTATATAGATTTCTTTAAGGATTACTCAGATATTTTATATGGGGATTACTATATTCAGGAGTGGACTTTGATAGACTGTAATGAAGATGATGATGATTATTCATATAACCATCATCTGGATCTAACATGGATGGACAGACCACATACAGTAGTTTGAATCCTGTTAATGCTTTCAACTAATTTATAATAATTGGATCGGACAAAGCATCCAAAGGATTGAAGTTTATAAAGTTAGCACAAGCCCTTCCTTACATTATTAAAAGTGCAACACACTGCATATTATTTTTAACAATCAAATTTTTTTTAAACAACAACAAATCTTAAGAAAGTTCAGGCATCACAATCTATGATGATTACTACTATGATTTCGTCCTAAACCTATCAAATTTAGAGGCACAACTTGTACAACACAGTAGAAATACATGCATCAAATGGTTCTCAAACAATAGATAAACACAAGACTTCTTTTCACATAGTTATTGTATTTACTATCTTATTTTGTTATATTAATTGTAATAGTAGGTGTATTATAGAGCAAGTTGGATGAACAAGATCCATTCATTTATTTTGTATTCGTAGAAGGGTAATGTAGTGCCATCAACAGTGACTGGTTTACTATGAAAGTAATGTCAATGAATATAATTTTAATTTAATTTTATATAATAATTTTATGATACTACAATTTATTTCAGTTTTTATTTATTTCCAGACTAACAAAATGTATTCCCATTTTATTTTGTGGAATCACAAGCTGGTCCCTCACAAATTATTGCTGCAAAACCACAAGCAGGATCTTTAAAAGGTATAACATTATATCCACTGAAGAACAACCACAAACATCAAAGCATAACAGATAAAGTTGAACCTGAAAAAGAAAGTACTCTATATGAAAATTTTTAAATTGAAATAAGGAATATTTTTGTAATCTAATATTTAATATGTTTTATAATTTGGAATTAAAATTATTCTATTTATAAGCTGCATTCAATACTTAATATATTGCATATAATATAGAGACAAAAATTTTAGTGTCAATTCAGGGAAATATATAGACAACCAAATATTATCAAAACAAAATTATTATTTGTGAATGTTGCACTTTGCACTTGTGTGTAGGAGCTTATTTATTAATTAACTTGTTTTTGATTAAAATATTGATATTTTGGTTATTGTAGACATTCTGTGATTTGTGATTGTGCATGTTATCAATTCATCCATGATTGTAAATCTTATATATATATTGTTTATCATTGTTTACTTAAGTAATTGAAATGTTGTAATCAATATTGATTTTCTTTTCATGTTTAAACCCATCAAATGTTTTTATAGAAAGAACTAAGCTGCTGGACAAATTTTGTCTTAAGTTATGTATATTTTTTTATTTTAATTTGTATTTTTATTTTGAATAAATAAATAGAAATTTTGTAATTTTTGTTCTTTTATTTAGCGTTGGGATAGGCAACCCAAAAATACCTCAAATAAAAAAACCAAAAAAGACCACGTTCAAATTTTCCCGCCACACGAGAAGTGCAGGAGGCTGACGATAGATGGAGCTAGTGGTTATATATCGCATTTCCTATATTTTGTATGAAGTTGTCGTTCTTCGCCGATAAGAGTAATAGTGTTCTGTGATTACTTCTATTGGAGTCCATGGATCTTGTGTTTTGAGAAATGAGCTCGAACCTAACTAAAAAAAATTAACTTTGAGTGGTAGTAGTTTTAATTTATAATTTATACCTCAAACTTAACTTAATAAAATCTAATAAATGTATAATTTCATAAATCAAAAGTGTTGAAATATTAACAATATTTCTTTTATTATCATCAGTTGTAAATTACATTAATTTCTTCCAAATATGTACAATTATTAGTATATAAGAATATTCAGTATTTACCTTGACCTCCTATAAAGAAAACTTGACCCTGCAACATGCACTCTGATCACGACGACGAGACACCTGTGATGAAACACGATAAAACTGATACACCCTCAGATGTTGCAATTAAAATCGAGAATTCTGACTCTGGTATTAATAAAAAAGTTGATAGCAAAGACCCAAAACCGCGTATTGTGTTGACATTTCGTTCTGAAAAATCCGGAGCAAAGAACAGCAATATGAAAATAGTTTCCACAGAGGAAAAACATGAAGAGATTTCGCCTAGACGCTCAAATCGAAATCGTAGTTTGAGGTGGGAGTCAGATGAAGATAATGATTCCTTGAGCATGACTAAAAAAGAACTAAACATTAGTCAGTCAGTATCGGAAAATGATGAGGCATCAGACAGCTCACATACTACACCTAAACGCTCCACAAGACGTCGCAGTAAAGAGTTTTCTGAAAATGTACTAGCTAATGCTATTGCCAGAAAGGAAAAGTCATATAATGAAACCTATTCAGGTCCCACTCAACGTTTATCGAGGAGAATTAAGCCTACTGCTAAAATTTTAGCCAATGAAGAATTAAGAATGGGTCTTGAGTCACAAAATAATGCACGTCTTGGAATACAAAGTGAGAAATTTAACGAAGAGGGTGTGAGGACTAGACGATCAGCATATTCTAAAAATTATGACAATACATCTGGTGATAAGAAAGCTGAGAAACGTCATAAGTCTCTCCGAGAAGAGATGAAACAAAATAAGTCATTGCAAGCTGGTGATACTTCCACATCTGAATTAAAAGCTAAACACTTGTGTAAGCTTGGCTTAAAAGCCACCAGTAATATACCTGACGATGAACAGTCCGAAGAAAATGAAAATAGGTAATTGTCAATAATTTCTAGTAATTGCAAATTTAACTGAATGTTGATTTGGGGCACAGCATCAATTCAAGTATTGGTTCTGTACACATTCTCCTCACTACCAGCATGGTTATATCACGCCAACAGGGGTATGGATTCTTGCAAAGGCTTAAACTTGAAGAAGTTATAAATATTAAATATGGTATTATTTTGTTTTCCCATTACTAAAAGTGTTTTAGCACTTTTTCTGTTTAATCTGGTGAAACAAAAATAAATAAACTTTTTCTCTGAATGCGGGAGAGAAATTAAAGCCAACACTGCTGAGTAAACACTGACCATATTTTCAATAATCAATCCTTAAATAGGTACAATTAAATCACACAGTCTATACAACATGGCCATTGATCATATTAATTTTGATAGGTTAAAATAACTCGTAAATTAAAGAAAAAAAATCATTTCTAACAAACTAAATAATAAAAAAGTTAAATTAAAACTTAAATTGGGATCACCCTTGCAATTTTCATTTTCATTCATGAATTTACCTAGTTAACTTGTGCAGATTGTGCTGGTTCCACATGCCATTTCTGGTTAACGTGCTTTCGTCAGTCCAACAAGTTTGGGAAAGAAAGTCACTGTCCTCTTCAATTTTACTCAGTAACCAATACAATGATTCACTTAATTTATCACGCATATGTACTTTCCTAACCTTGAATGGGTACCACTTTTTGCACTTTAAATGTCATCATATTCTGCTGCTGTGTAGTTTGGATGTGTATTTGGCATTACGATCACAAGTTTACACAAGCACTAATAACACAAATAAGTGTCCCTATCACAAGAGATGTAAACATACCTACTAGATTAGAAAATGAATACAAAATGTCTTTATTGCAGTACCATAACCTAATTACTATCCTACTTACACAAAAATTAATAAATAAAACAGTAAGTAAGCGTCTTTTTCGTGGAATAATTACACAAAAATATTAGTCGATGCAATTTAATTAATTATGGGCACTACTGTGAAGATGTGTGTCAAGGACACGGGTGATGGGCACACATTGCCTGCTCTGCCTCCTTGCCGACAAAGTATCTTTCCTTCAATAGTATTGCTTATTCGTTTTGATTTCAATGATGTGATGTTATGATCCGTGACCCTGACAAATGACCGTTGGGCGGAAGTTCTCTAAGTACAGGTTGCTCTTAGATACTATTTTCTAAAATTTCAAATAAATCCATAAATAATAATGTATAATGGAAATATAATTTCTTAATGAAACCAAAATGTGAAAACATATATGTGTTAAAATAAAGTCACCATTATAGCGGCACATTGTATGTTATAGTGTATATGTATATAACCATTCTGTAATATTTGTTTATATCTAATCCTTACATGTCACTGATTTAGTTTTAATGAAACAAAATTACCCTTTATTTAATTAATGAATGAATCTGAATATCTTATTTATTATCATTAAATTTTAGAAGTGTAGATGGTGATGAAAATGATCCCGAAGCAATGGAAGAAGATGAAGAAATTGATGATGATACAGAGGTCATCAGCAAACTTTTGGAGGCTGATGAAGACAGCAGTGATGAAGATTTCTTATGCCCAGTTGATACATCAGGGAGTGAACGTCCTAGACGCTCCACAAGGCAATGCTCTTCTTATGATAATGATAGTGATCAATCTTCAATGTCAATAGAAGATGATGAATCAAAGTAAGTTATTTTTTTAATTAACAACAGACTACATCTAAGGATGCAAAAATAGAAGTTTTAATTATAGAAGCACCACACTATTACTACAGCTCTCCACAAGTCTACTGCTGAACAAAAGCCTCCCCTATAGGAAGCCTCATAAGAGTGATAGTTGCCACGCTTGGCAAGCGGGCTTGCAATGGCAGTTTACTCTTTGTATTTAGCTGTTGTCAGTGAGATCATCTCCTGGGTTTCACATTGCATACAATCAACAGTGGAAACTGAATCTTGTGACAGTTCCCATGATGTTGTAACAACATTGTGATCAACCCTTAATATTTTCTTACTTATATATATATAATATTTATAACTTTTCAACTATCAATTATAATCAATAACATCAATTATATAGGGAAATAGTACTGCAAGTGTAATGCAATCATGAGACACTCACTTATCACAACTTATCTATGCTCAAAACTTATACAGTTCAATCAAACTCAGTAAATAATACTGTGTTAGACTACTTTTTTTTTCAACAGCCATTTATTTTTCAGTTCCAAAACCAAGTTCTCAAATATTAAAGCAAATATGACAAAGACATTAAAATATTTTGTTATAAATATACATCCAATAAAACTTAAATTGACTGTTAGGCCAGTAATTTCAATATTGAAATAATACTAATTTTTACGGAATTTATCGCGTATATTTAACTTTTTTACCCGACGTTTCGAGAGCTTTACAGCACCCATGGTCACGGGAAGGACTGAGATGTTCAACGTCCAGCTGTCATAGTTAACCGCGGTTACCATAGATTAAAATTTAACTTTTGTTCCGATCTACACAGTATGAACTTATGGTATCATGGAGTCTTGCAGTTGTATGCTTGGGTTGGGATTTAATTTTATTTATTATAGGATCCCAAGCAGATGGTAGCACCCAGCCATCTTCTCTATTGAAATTAGGATGTTTTTTGATTTCAATAGCCTCGCGAATCATCCTTGGAAGGAATCGGTGTTCTTTAGCGAGGATTTGTGGTCTATCAAATCTGATGTAGTGACGGGGGCGATCCTGTACATGTTCACAGACTGCAGACTTCCCGTGACCATGGGTGCTGTAAAGCTCTCGAAACGTCGGGTAAAAAAGTTAAATATACGCGATAAATTCCGTAAAAATTAGTATTATTTCAATGTGTAGTGTTCGCGTAAATATAAGAAATTTCAATATTACAAAAAAAAAGCGAAATTTCAAAGAAAAATTTATTCATTTGAGTTTGTAATCTAAGTGGCAAATATCCAGAGGCACTCACACTTAGTCTCACACAGTTTCAAAGAGAACATGCAAGAATTACCAGCAGATAATGAAATACATTTAATGATGATTTTGGAATATACAGAAAGTTATAATGAATCTTGTTGGAATGTTTAGTGTGTTATGGTAGTGTAATAGAATTTATCACTCCTCCACAACACCCGGTGTTGTAAAAGTTGATTATTGGAAAAGCCAGAAAAACTTCGAGCTGATAGATGTGTGATATGTATGAGATGTATTACGATCTCGTATATGCCATATGGATAAGTCCCACACCACCGACACAAAGCAGTAAGTTTGTGTAACACTGAGAATTTTTTTTGCTTATGATAAAATTTTGTTTTTTTGTAAAACAAGATGTAAGTAAAAGAGATTTGGGCTTATTAGTTTATAACTAAAACTGACACTTTTACACAATACACAAAACCATACATAAATTATGTCGAAACAATTGCCAACCACAAATTTTTTTATTGAATAAGAATGACAAACGAGCACACCGTCCGCCTGATGGTAAGTGGATAGCCCATAGACTATATTTATCCTAGATTAAGAATCAAAATGCAGATGCGTTGTCACCCCTGAGAACTAAGATGGAATGCCTTGTTTCCAGTAAAAAAGGGTCGCTGGATGTCTACACTCACTATATTCATATAGTATAGTAGTAGTAGTATAGTAGTACACAGCAGTATTAAGCTAGTAATCTGTAAGAGCGTGGTCCTTCCCCAGTTGAACCGACCCATTCATGCTACAACCATAATATAGCTGCAGCGTGGCTCTACCACTCAGAGTTACACAATCATACTGCTCGTGCTGCAATTGCTAATAGACATATTACAACATATTGTCTCTACATAGTGTAAAACGAAGCCACTGCTCGCCGTCTGAACAGCACAGAATGATTCAAGAGGAAGATTTATATGATTAACATATTCATATGTTGTCAAGGTCCAAAAATCACCCGTGCAAAGCTGCTGTCTCAACTTTTTTTTTTATAGAAGAGGGTGCAAACGAGCATGCGGCTCACCTGATGTTAAGTGACTACCGCCGGCCATGATCAACCGCAACACCTGGGGAATTGCAGGTGCGTTGCCGGCCCTTTAGAAAGGAGTACGCTCTTTTCTTGAAGGTCCCCAGGTCGTATCGGTCCGGAAAAATCGCTGGTGGTAAACTATTCCACAGAGAGGTTGTACGCGGAAGAAAACTCCTCTTGAAACGTACAATGGTGGACCGCAAAACTGATTTTGATGCTGTTTTCATCAATAGACAGAATGATTCAAGAGGAAGATTTATATGATTAATATATTCATATGTTGTCGAGATCCAAAAATCAACCGTGCAAAGCTGCTGTCTCAACTGATTTTGATGCGGTTTTCATCAATAGACAAAATGATTCAAGAGGAAGATTTATATGATTAACATATTCATATCTTGTCGAGATCCAAAAATCAACCGTGCAAAGCTGCTGTCTCAACTGATTTTGATGCAGTTATCATGAATAGACAGAATGATTCAAGAGGAAGATTTATATGATTAACATATTCATATGTTGTCGAGATCCAAAAATCACCCGTGCAAAGCTGCTGTCTCAACTGATTTTGATGCGGTTTTCATCAATAGACAGAATGATTCGAGTGGATAATTTATATGTATATTCATATGTTGTCGAGATCCAAAAATCACCCGTGCAAAGCCGGGGTGGATTTCTAGTTCCTTATTTAAAAAAAATCATGTCCAGAATTAGACTGTTAAAGACTGGTAAAGAACATAATATAAGAATATTTATATTATTATGATAATTTTGATTGTTTAATTTGACTTATTTCTAAAAAATCTTTTACAACAGGGCACCGCCGCGACGTTCATCAAGGCTAAGATTCAGTTGCAGCGATTTTTATGACAGGTAAAAAAAGAATATTATATTATTGCCATAACAAAATCTAAATTGACCCGTTATTTTTGTTGTACTATAGTCGACCATAAATTGATTTTAATTTATTTAAGTATGTATATTATTAGGCTTGTGTTATAAATCAATGTTAATTTTTAGCTCTTTTAATTATGTATGTAATTAACATTAATTCAAATGAATTATTGACTGTTCCCTGCGACTTCATCGATATTGAATTTATTATTCTGAATGATGAAGTGTTGAGTCTAAAGAGATGGAAGGAATATTTTGAAAGCGTATTTATGAGTGAGGAGACGTGTGAACTAAATGAAATAGAAATTCCGAAAGAAGATCAAAGAGATAGGGAGATAAGTATAGATGAAATAATGAAAGCAATGAAAAGCATGAAAGTTGGTAAGGCAGCCGCATATGATAGCCGGCTGGAGAGAACGTGGTGGCAGGCCTGCTGTACACCTTGTTTAATTTATGTTGGGAACTAAAGCGGGTACCGGGAGACTGGTGCAAAGCCGTGATAGTCCCAATATATAAGGGAAAAGGGTCACAGCAGGACTGTAAAAACTACCGTGGTATCAGCCTTCTTAGCATTGTGGGAAAACTGTATGCTAAGGTACTAATTGAAAGAGTTATGAAAGAAACTGATGAAAAAATTTGGGATGTGCAAGCGGGATTTAGAAAGGGAATGGGGTGTACAGTCTTTTCCATGCGCATGATCATGGAGAAGTTATTAGCGAAAAACCAAAAAGTTTTTTCTGCGTTCATGGACTTTGAAAAGGTTTATGACAGAGTGGACAGGGATGTGTTATGGCAAACGCTGAACGCATTTAGGTTGAGCGCTGGTTTAATACAGGCATTAAAGTCTCTGTATAGGGACTCGAGTGCTTGTGTTAGAATCAACGGGGTCTACTTGGACTGGTTTGGCATCCATAAAGGTGTCAGACAGGGCTGTATAGCTTCCCGGTGACTGTTCAACCTATTTATGGACAGTTGTTTGGAAAATTTGAAAGTTGAAGAATGCGGGTTAAGAATGGGTGAGTTAACCATCAAATGCCTTTTGTACGCCGATGATCAAGTCATACTTGCGTCGTCGGCGGCCGAGTTGCAAATGATGGTTACATTAATGAACAGGTCATTAAAAGAAAGAGGAATGAAAGTGAACGCAAGTAAGACGAAAGTGATGGTTTTTGAAAGAGAAGAAAGCAAAACGGTATGTGAAATAAGAATAGAAGGAGAGTTAATTGAGCAAGTGGATGAGTTCGTATATTTGGGATGTGTATTCAGCAGGGATGGGAGATATGATTAAGGATATTGAACGACCACTCGTCGTTCAATATAGTTCAGTATAGTTCAATATAATGCAGGAAATAAAGTAAATGGGGCTCTACACTCTATTGTGAAAAGTCAGAATGTGTCAAAAAAGGCACGTATGGCAATTCACAATGCTGTATTAGTCCCTACTTTAACATATGGTAGTGAAAGTTGGGTGTGGCAGAAGAAGCACGAGAGTAGAATAAATGCAGTAGAAATGCGGTCACTAAGGAGTATGTTAGGGCTGAATCTGAGTGACAGGGTGAGAAACTGTGTGATAAAAGAAGAGTGTGGTTTGCAAGATGATGCAGTGACCAGGATTAAGAAAGGAATGCTTCGGTGGTTTGGTCATGTAGAAAGAATGAATGCGGAAAGACTGACAAAGCAAATATATGTTGCAGAAGTGAATGGAAGAGTCGGAAAGGGACGTCCTAGGCGGAAGTTTCTCGACCAAATTGGCGATATACTAAAAGTGGGCCAAATTAAGAGTACCCTTAACCGACAAGCATGTATGCATAGGTATATGGATGTAGAAGAGGCGGGAGAGGTATGTCAGGATCGTGCTAAATGGAAGTCTGTAGTCTCTGCCTACCCCTCTGGGTGACAGGCGTGAGTGTTTATGTATGTATTATGAATTTATTATGATAGAGTTTTATGGCTTTTAATTTTTTTGCCCTGAACCATAATTATTTTTTTTACCATAAAATTAGCCTAAGTTACTGCTTATAGCACAAGCTTATTGCCAGTGAAAGTCTTGTCAAAATCGGGTTAGGCGTTTCGGAGATTAGCTGAAACAGACTGAAAAAAATTAAAAAAATTGTGTTTTTGTTATAAGTATATGATACGTATTTAGTAAAAAGCTGTTGTTTTGACATTACAAACAGATATTTCAATTTAATTTATTTACATATATATTTAAAAAAAATAGCAATGTCACAGTTCTGCTCAAGAATTTCATATTCAATATCCATGATATTATGGCTTCAGAATGACATGCATTGTTAGATATTAATGAAAATATGTCTTACACAGAGATGCAGCAGGCCCTGATGAAGGGGATGAAGCAGCATATCCTCTTGAGCAATACCCTGTTGTTGCTAATTGCACTTGTGAGAGTTCCAGCAATGTGTATGCAGCCCCTGATGATCTAACTGGTAAGCTGAGCTAATTTAGGTAGCTTATTTTTAATAAGATATTGGAACTGCAGGTGGTAGGACACCTTTGCTGCGTAGTAGTCCATCTGGGTACTGTCAAATTATCTATTTTCAGTGCCAAAAGCAGTGAGTGCATTGCTTTGTTTTGGTCTGAAGTGTGTATCTCTACACCTCTGCTTGGCTCCCGCCAGGATGCTGTGAGGTATTTCATCGTAGTCAGTAGAGGCGATAACACAGCTTTGGCTTGGTTACAGTTGATCATGGGCTACAGTAGCCGGTGAGGGCGCACTTAAATCATACCTACACTCATATTTTTTTATTTCGTATCACAGAGCCAGTGTTTTGTCAAGCCATCGAGACTGTGGACGGCGTAAGGGTTGGATGCTCGCACGCGGCCGCGCGACTCAATGGGGAGCTGCAACCGCTACGAAGGGCTGGGCCTCGCGCTCCTTACTTTCTGTGCTGTAAACTTCACGCTGCACAGTTGCAACGACACATGTGCTGCGCCGCCTGCGGTCTGTTCTGCGCACAGGTGGCTACATAATTAAAACTACAAGGTGTTCCTACTCTTCAGCCTTAATCGGCACGCTTGACTGTTTTTTACCTTAGACCCTGATTCCCAGCGAGCTACTTTTACCACTAAGCTAAAAATATAAGGATTGAGATGGAGTAATGTGAAAAAAGTGATTGGTGGCTATCCAAAATCCTTGGAAACTCCTTTTGTATGCATGACCAAAAATACCCAGATTGTCAGCATCAAATGTGTAAAACTCTCCCAATGTAGGAAGGACTTGCCATAATTGCCTCGTTTGGCAGGCGGGTCGGCATTGCAGTACCAAATTCACGTCAGGAGCAGAGTCTAATTCCTTATAAAGTTCTCCTTTTTCATTAGCATGCTAAAGTCCACCGCACGACATAGGTCTCTCCCAATATAGCGAGAAAGAAAGACTTTTATTCCCTGGAACTGTACACATCACAAAAATAAAAAAATTAACAGTTAAAAGTATGGTAGATTAAAATTACAAGTGATGGAGTGTGTATCGAGCCAGTGAAACGGTTATGACTCGGCGTAATCCTGCAGGGTAACCAACCTACAGTGCTGATGATTCTGTCATGATCCGCCTGGGTGTGTTTTATGAAATACATTTAGACATATTATACTCATACATTCTATATAAAAATAAAAATAAATATGTAAAGATAAACTTAACATTAAGCTTTGTAAATATACACTAAAAACATACATATTATGCTCAACAATGCTGGAAGAAACATTTGCTGTAGGCTCAAGGTTGAGCTTTTTGTGAGTATAATGATTTTTATAGTGTGATTTAAAATTATATTTTGAATTACACTCTTGAATAGGCGGAGGAATGTCGTTCCAATATCTAGTAGCTATATATTTAAAGCTACCTCTGAAAGCTGCAGAACAATAACGGCCTTATACTAGCGGTTTGCGAGCGGCTTCGGGGCGGAGCGGGCGCGCAGCGAATACGTCGCGAACACACCGCGGCTGCGCAGCGAGGACGTCGCGGATGCTAGGCGGATACGCAACGTTTTTGTCGCGTGCAGCGAGTTTACGACGTACAGTAACAAAATGGAATCCGACGGAGAAATACGGCTGTTGGTTTTGTTACTTCGAAGAGGCATGAGACGAAAACAATAGATTTTGTTAGGATCCATTATCAAATAATCGACTGGAAGAGAGCGGCTACTTTGTGTTGTTTTGCAAACGAATAAAATATAATCCTAAAAAAATTCGTGCGAATTTTAAGACCTAGAGACATTTTATGAGTTGTTGCATCTAATACAAACCGACTTAAGACATGAAGATACACATTTGAGATTAACAGTGTCACTTGAAAAATGACTCGTTTTTACCATATGTATGTATTAAACGTTTGTACGAGAGTGTACAAAATGGCGTCCACGTTGCTATTCGCGGCGATCTCGTTGCGCGTCCGCGGCGTATTCGCCGCTCGTGCGCGGCTGATTCGTTGCGCGCCCGCGACGTATTCGTTGCGCGCCCGCTCCGCCCCGAAGCCGCTCGCAAACCGCTAGTATGATAAGGCCGTAAGTGGGATTGGCAAGTGGGTTTTCACAAGACCTAATGATGTTACACCTATTGGTGATATAGGAGGGAATTACAATTAATCCTCACACTTGGCGTACGGATTTACGAATCTGTACCGGAATACTAATACCTTTGGCACTGCTGCTCATCTCCAGTCTGAATATTTCGTATAAATTATTTTGATACCATTACAGCCTATTAAAGTCCACTACTGAAAATAGGCCTCCCCTATAGATTGCCTCATAGGGAAGATATTATGACACCAACGGAATGATATGGGGTAGTGGATATTATTAAGGTGGGTCTACGCTAGAGGAGTCGAGCACGAGCGGAGCATGAGCCCAGCACAAATTCGTGTAGTGTGGACCGACTTACAAGCCTCGAACAAACGTGCTTAACTGTGCTCCGCCTATTATCGGTTTTTCGATGAACACAAAGGGATTTGCATCGCATGCATCGATTTTCATGTAATGTAGGCTTGTGGGCGTTTTCCAAAAAAGTTGTACCTTGAAAAAAGTCAGTGTCCGGCCACTTTCAGAATAAATTATCAAATTTTATAAAAGTTTTTATTACATATCATTTATTTTAATAATAAAGTAACATATAGTCTCATAAATCAAATAAAAATAAGGTCTGAATCTGTTATAAATCAAAAATAAAATCAAGATAAGTAAAATGAGGTCGATGTTTTTGGTATGTCCCACATCTACTGTGTCAACTTCAGAGTCACATAATACGGTCGTGTTATATTATTATTCAAACGTTTTGCATTTGACTGGTCATTTATGACCGTAACTTCAATTTTAAACCTGAAATGTACATGTTACGGTTGAAAATTATTTTAAAATACCAGATTTTGGGTTGTCCTGCAAAATAGCGTATGATGGAATTTCCGCGTACGTGACCGCATTTTCAAGGACTTCCAACAAAAAATACCACCAATTCAATGCATTTTCCCAAATATAGCAACATTATTAGTCTATGGTGGCTGCTGTATTTAATTTTTGACAGCCAGTTCGCCAACAAAACGTAATCGAAGTGGTCGTCTCGACTCATGTGAAAAAAATAATTCCACAAACGATACTGCTTTTCTCCAGGTAACGTATTCATGTGTATTTCATTCTATTTTCTATTAAACATGTTAATTTATTGTTATTTGAAATGTTATGTTATATTGAACAAAAGTTTTATAACTAATTAGTAAATTCATTTCAAAATTTTATTGGCATGGTTACGTTACCTCCATTAACGCTACTATCGCATGAATGGAACTCAAAAGTGACGTAATAGAATCCTAAAGGTCGGTTCATAAAGTCATTGTTTTAATTAGTGTTCTAAAGTCTAAATAAATTAAGTATGAATAAAATAATAATGAAATGCCTTGAATTTTTTAAATGAATTGCTTATTACTTAATTTCGTGTGTAAATCAAACAAGATTTTTCGACTAGATATTTCGGCTCAAAACACTCCATTCAGGATAACATTAGAAAAATAACAGTGAAATAACGATAGTTATTACGTTATATTGTTGAAATGGCTGCATTTAGTGTTTAATTTTAATGGTATCCTGAATGAAAATTTTTTGTTTTTGCGTGAAAATATATGTGATAAACAGTTATCACATTTATTTTGACAATTATTTCACGCAACGCTTTTTGTAAATCTATATAAATTTTTTCACAAAAATTTGAGATTTTTCGTACGGGGTACATTATGATAACTCACTATTGATTTTAGGTTTAAATATGCCCTTGACGGCTGCAGAAAAGTCAAAACGGTACCGAGAAAAAATCAAACAAAACCCGGAAAAATATGAAGAATTTAAGAAGAAGGAATTACGAAGACAAAGAAAGCAACAAAAGAAGATTAAAAAGCTCACTGAGGACGAGAAAATGGAAAAAAGGTAAAACTCTGGAGAGAACAAAAACGAAAACAAAAACACTCAACCGAATCCACAATCAGGGCAATCACGTGACGCATCCAATAATTCAGCTCCACATTCATTGAAAATTAGGTACCGGAAATTGTTAAATAACTACAAAAAGGCTTTAAAGACGATTCGTCAATATAATACAACAACACAGACTCTGAGAAAGAAATTACGCCGAATGAAAAAAAAACATGAAACCGAATTTGATTTATTGAACACAGAAAACGATGAATTGAAAGCAAGACAAGAAATAATGGAAATATCAATTCGTAGTACGTACAGGAATTGTAAGAAAAATAAAGAAAAACAATTAGTTAAAAACGTGATTAGGAAACAGGCGCATATATTGTAAAAAGCACCTGAAAGTAAGATTTTAGGTCTTAAAGGAAGAATCAGGAAAAGGATTAATTTACAACGACCAATAAATAAGAATACTCAGGAAGAAATAGAACTTTTTTATTTGAGAGACGACATAAGTAAAAGCACAGCTGGTAAGAAGGAAACCAGGTCCAAAGACAAACAAAAAGCACAAATAAGATACTTAGTCGACACACTGAAAAACGTATACGAAATTTATAAAAAAAGACGGTGGGTCATGCGGCTTCACCACCTTTTACAGATACAAGCCTTATTATGTACTGTCTCCAAGTATCAATAATAGAGAAACCTGCTTATGTATTAAGCACAGTAACTTTGAGTACATGTTTAATGCATTGAAGTGTAAAGATGTCACAACTTACAAGAATATAAAGGAGCTCTTGAACATCGTTGCATGTGATATTACGCGTTATGACTGCATGTACAATAAATGTAAAGATTGTAAGAGTATTTCATATGATGAACAAAACCTCGATTCTGCTATATCATGGTTCAAATGGGCTAGGGTAAACCATGAATATGAAAAATCCAATCAATGCACTTTAGTGCCTCCAAAAAACACGATCACTTTACATAATATAATTTATATATTTTTTTATATATATATAACATAATATAATAATTTTTTGGAAAAATCTATCCCAATCATTCGTATCTGTTTCAGATAACAATTGCCATGAGCCTTTTATTATACAAAGAATGGTAAAATGTAATGCATGTAAAAATTGGGTTTGCCTGATATGTAGCGGAACAACCTTTTTTGACTACATTTGTTCGATTTGTCTTGGGACTGATGAATAGTTTTTTGTTACAGTTTAAGACCGTTTACAAAGTACGGCATTTCATACAAACTTTCAAGTCTTTATATTTCGAAATAAATGAACCGATTTTAATGAAACTTCCTATGCATAAGCAGGATATATAGGTCCAAAAAGTTAATGAGAACATTTTCGAAAAATAATGTTACAGCTAAATTCAGCCGATTTTAAATTTTCCATAGAAACAGATATTTCCAATTATCTTGTTTTAAATAAGACATTTCGAAAATGTTCTTTACTAACTTTTTAGAACTATGTGTTCTGCTTATGCGTGTGAAGTTTCATTAAAATCGGTTCATGCATTTCGAAAACAAGGACTTGAAAGTTTATATGAAATGCCGTACGTTTTAAACGCTCTTAAATGACATACTAGTAATATTATGTTTAATACGATAAGTACAAGTTACCATGATTGTTGTCATAATTGAGAGTCATATAGACGTTGCCTTACAGTTCCTAAACGTCATTTTCGAATTACATTAACGTCACTGTCCTATTATTACTGTGATTTATTTTCTAAGACTAATTAATAGATCTCAAAGAAATTTGACTGTTTTTGTTCAATATAGTTTACTATAAATTTTTAATTTGTTATAATTAAACTTTTGAAAGAATATTTCTCATATTTGACGTTCTAGGATGAAAAAAATATAGTACAAAGTACCCAAAAGTAGCGTAAGGAATATCTTTGTTAAAACATTTTTTGATTAGATCTAATATGCTGAATTATCAATATTTTTTAGAAAACAGATTGTGTTTATTTTTCATTAATAAAGTTAAAAATACTGAACTTCTTTTAGTTTTCATGAAAACTATTTTAAAATTAGTAACGTAATGGAATTTCTTGAGAACATAATTTAATTAAAATTGTAATTATTTTCAAAATTCATTATTATTTTCTTAAAAAAATACTATTTTCATACTGCTCATACTATATTTTATCAATTTAATTACATTTTGAAGCTAAATGTTACAACTCATACAAGTGGAATTCTAACTACGTCACCGACAATTTTTTTGAAAAACGCCCTTGTACGTCCACGCTTGACACCGCGAGTAGAGCGCCTCATCTTGTGCTCAGCTCATGCTCAGCTTCTCTAGCGTAGACTCACCCTCACAAGTTTACATCACTACTACACAGGCAATAAATTATTTGTATGATATTAATTCTTGGCCACTTTCCAGGGTATATTCTACCAGTGCTCATTAGGGCATTTATTCCACATTGAATGTGGTATAATGGGTAGCGTGGAGCGTTCCGGTGAGGTAAAGCAGCTACCTGGCTGTCCACATTGCGGTGTGCATTCGGTGCAGTGGCAGCCTGCCAACAGAGATTGCAGCCGAGTGAAGATTGAGATGCACTGCAGTGGCAAGCGCGTGTTTCTGTCTGAGCAGCGAGAGCAGTCGTAAGCTCATTATATTTTTCTATGTAGGGGGCAACGCCAGCTGCTTATGTCACAGTATGCGAGCTACCCGGGTTTGACCCACCAACCCATGAAATTGTTAATTGCAATTTTAAGTGCTGATTTACCATGTGCTTGGTGGTGAGGAAACATCCATGTTTAAGAAATAAAAAATTTCGAGGACATGTGAAGTCCGCCATTAAGCATTGAAACGGCGCGGCGGATTAATTGCTACATAATTTAAGTTTAATCTGCATAGCACAAAGACTTCTATGAATACTACTAGACGGGCACTATGACACTAACGAGTTTCTGACGATGTTAGTGCTGTTAGCTTTTTGGCTGTTACAGCTTCATAGGTGTACGGTGTGTACATGCTTATGTATACGGTGTATATGCGGCGCGCCCGTCTGGGGACTCGCTCCCTCCCATCCGATGTTCTGTCAGTGTTTGTGGCACTAGGTGAATGTGTAATGTCTATGTGAGATGGGCCGGCATGACACTAATACATTTCGCAAGACGTTACGGTCTCTGTAACTACTTTAGTCCACTGCAAGTAGCCTAGAAGACTTGTTCTTTGTTTTGTAAACCGGAACGTTATTTCCGACAATCTAACACTGATTTTGAGTAATGTTACTAAGAAAACGCTGTCATTATTTATGTGCGCATTTTGTCAACCTGATTTCAAATTTAAGTAGGTATTTGACTTTATTTCGTATTTGCCTAAAAGCAGTAACTGTCGTAAATGAAAACAAAACTGGCATATTTATCGTGTCAGGTACCGCGCTTCCCGTGCGATTCAATAGTTAGGCACGTAAACAGTGACTATAGTCTGTGCCAAATCGATTGAAAAAAAAACGGACAATGACCTCAGATGAGCCGAGTGTCAAAAGGCCTAACTTGCAAAATCTCAATTTAGATGTGATAACATTATTTAAATATTGATATTATTCACACTTCTAGGTCATATACATATAAAATATGTTTTTTTTGTTTCTTTAATAATATTGTCTGTGGTCCTTATAAACATCGTAAAATCTTACGGTACATCGCGAAAAATGTGTTATATTTTATATTTCAATTTATGGTAAGTAACGCAGCAATTCATTTAGTAACAGTTTCATATTTAAAAAAATATTTGAAGCAATATAATCACCATATTGAGCTTTCGCAAATTCATCCCTTTAAAATAAACAAAACGCGCGTTACGTTAGTTCGTTCTAAAAGAAACGTGACAATGGCAGCCAGAGATGCGTCACCTTTTTTGGGCCGGTCCGCACGCACCGAATAAAAATAAAATTCTTATATAATATTGAAAATAAAGTTTTATCTTTTGAATAAGTACGTACTTATTCGGTATGGTTATCACTCGAATCTTTATATGTGTTATAAATTAATGGTTTTTATTGTTAAATGAATAAAGTACTTTATAACAATAGATGATTTTCTTCTACAGCGATCTTTTACATAACTTTTTAATAATAATTAATTAATATATATTATATCAATCAATATAAAAAAAATATAAATAAAGAACGTACTACATATAAAAAGTGCCTATATATTGAAGGTTTGTAGCCTCTGGTTGAACGACCGAAAGGTCACTGACCGTTTTTCTCAATCGATTTGGCACGTACTATAGCCGGCACCCGCGCGATCCATGCGATCAGTTGTGACACAGTTTTTGTTCTGAATTGCTGGTCTAGTAGTATTCATATAATTCTTTGGTATAAGCGTTTGGCAGCGTGGAACTAATCAGTGTACTAGCGTATTTGTAATATTTTCCCAAAAATTTCATGCTTTACTCTCTGTCTGAATGTTTTCATTTTGCGTTTCGCGAGTACACAATGTAAACTTGGCATAATGATTGGGGAAACGTTAAATAACCCCTCCTTTTCGTATCAACTGTCCATCGTCGTGTATTACGTTAGCCAATGAGAGCTTAGCTCATGCTACCATGTGACCCTCGTATGCAATACAAATAATATATATTGTTTTCAGGACTCCGGCCTATGTCACTTTCCCTAAAATGGATCCATCTATTATGGATCAAGGTCCACTCATCCCCGAGGACTTGCTGCCTTCACCACCAGTGGACTTAAAAAAGCTGTGTGAAACAAGCAGTAATGAGAATGAAGAAACTCCGACCTCAAAAATACAGGCTTTACACGACGCCATTATTGCTGGGGAGACCGCAGAGCAATTAATACCTAAAATTGGTAATTGTTCCTTGTTTCTTTTATTTTTAAAAAAGCTATTTAATGCTATTTATATGTGTTAGATCCATACTGCAGCTATATTATGGTTGAATAACTAATGGGTCGGCCCGACTGGGAAAGGACCATAACCACAGAATACTAGTGTAAAATAGCAGCTTAATGCTGTGCTGTTCCGTATGGTGAGTGTAGAGAACTGAAGACCCTTTTTACTGGAAACAAGGCATTCCGTCTTAGTTCTCAGGGGTGACAACGCATCTGCATTTTGATTTTTAATCGAGAATAGATGTAGATGTCTATGGGCTACAGCATCCACTTACCACCGGATGTGAACTGTGTGCTTGATTATCATCCTTATTCTATATTTTTAAAAAATGCTGGTATTTATTGCATTTGATTTATTTCCCAACAGTTGCAGCGAAAAGCGACGGCTTAGATGAAGCAATGGGTATTGCAGCGAGTCACGGACGAGTTGCAGCGCTATATTTGCTTCATTTTGCTGGGGCAAAGCTAGACACAGTTGACTCGACACAGCATACTCCGCTTGTGAAAGCGATTGTTGGTAAGAACTCATTATATACGCAATAATCGCGCTCTAATAATCGATTTTGGTTATTTCTAAATATTAATCGATTCTCAGCTATACTAGAAATATTTTAAACAAGTTTATGGAAAAAAAACATTCTGTCATATTAAGTTCTTTTAATATCATGACTTCTTATATTTATGTGAACACACATTAAATGAAATTATTTTTACTAATTTTATGGATTATGTCGCGTTTAACTTTTTTATAATTCCCGACGTTTGACTTGGCGTGTGACTGCAGGAAGGGCTGAGGTGTATGACATCCAGATGTCATAGTTAGTCCGGCTACCTTCACTTTTTAGTATATTAATCTTTGGTCCAATCTACGTAGAATTATGTCGCGTTTAACTTAGACTTTTTTTTTAATTCCCGACGTTCGACTTGGCGTGTGACTGGGGGAAGGGCTGAGGTGTATGACACCCAGATGTCATAGTTAGTCCGGCTACCTTCACTTTTTAGTATATTAATCTTTGGTCCAATCTACGTAGAATTATGTCGCGTTTAACTTAGACTTTTTTTTTAATTCCCGACTTTCGACTTGGCGTGTGACTAGGGGAAGGGCTGAGGTGTATGACATCCAGATGTCATAGTTAGTCCGGCTATCTTCACTTTTTATTATATTAATCTTTTGTTCAATCTACGTAGAAGTATGTCGCGTTTAACTTAGACTTTTTTTTAATTCCCGATTTTTGACTTGGCGTGTGACTAGGGCAAGGGCTGAGGTGTATGACATCCAGATGTCATAGTTAGTCCGGCTATCTTCACTTTTTAGTATATTAATCTTTGGTCCATTCTACGTAAAATTATGTCGCGTTTAACTTAGACTTTTTTTTTAATTCCCGATTTTTAACTTGGCGTGTGACTGGGGCAAGGGCTGAGGTGTATGACATCCAGATGTCATAGTTAGTCCGGCTACCTTCACTTTTTAGTATATTAATCTTTGGTCCATTCTACGTAGAAGTATGTCGCGTTTAACTTAGACTTTTTTTAATTCCCAATTTTAAACTTGGCGTGTGACTGGGGCAAAGGCTGAGGTGTATGACATCCAGATGTCATAGTTAGTCCGGCTACCTTCACTTTTTAGTATATTAATCTTTGGTCCGATCTACATAGAATTAGCTTACAGTATCTTGAAGTCTTGCAGTGGTATGCTTGGCTTTGAATTTAATTTTGTTAATTATAGTATCCCAGGCAGATGACGGCATCTTCTCTATTGAAATTAGCATGTTTGTTAATTTCAATAGCCTTGCGAATCATCCTTGGTAGGATAGGAATCGGTGTTCTTTTGCGAGGATTTGTGGTCTATCAAATCTAATGTAATGGCAGGAATAATCTTGAATACGTTCATAGACTGCATACTTCCCGGAGCTTCGATTTTTCACATCAGCTATATGTGCCTTTATGTGGGTTTTTAAAGATTTTTTTTTGTTTGTCCTATATAAGAGAGACCACATTCACAATCCAGCGTAAGATTCAAGATGTAGCCAATCTTGCCTGTGACTCCTTATAATTTTATAATATAATTAAAGTATTTGTAGCACGTCGTCGTTATTCATGTAATAAATTAAACACTTTGAACTATCAAGTACTACTACATGTATCCATAGTATTAAATGCCTTCATCAAGAGGTTGAATGTTCTTGTTCTTTAGATCTATATGAAAAAAAAATGCGTACGAATGCAAATCTTAGAAACAGTACCCACTTTATTTGTACTGTTTCTAAGATGTAATGTTTACTTTTTATATTATTCTGTATAATATATTATATGTAATGAGAAATTTATTATAAAAGTATCATTTCAACAGCATTGTTAAATAAATCTAAAACAAAAGCCGATGAAGCTAAAAAAGACGATGGTCCAAAAGAGGAAGCAATTGAAGTAGAAAAAGAGAATGATCAAAATGAAGACAAAAAAGATGAAGGTGGTAACGAAACAAAAGAAGAGGAACAAAAGAATGAGACTAAAGACCTGAAAGTTTCTGTTGTGAACACAAGTAATGATGATCTGATGAAAGTAATAAGATACTTGGTGGCTGCTGGTTGTGACGTCAATCTTCCTGTAAGTAAATTGAATAATATTTCAAATTTAAATGATAGTAAAATTACTAATTTGCATGGGTCGGCTTGACTGGGTATTTAACACACTCTCTCAGAATACCAGTGTAAAATAGCAGCTTAGTTAATAATATTAGGTAGATGACATAGTAAAAGATACAGGAAGTCAATGGATGCAGGTGGTTCGGGCCGTGCTTTGTGGCATTCCTTTAGGAAGCCTATTTTCAGCATATACATGGTAGGCTACGCTTTAGCTATATTATTGTTGCAGTTGCACGGGTCGGCTCGACTGGGGATGTAACCATCTATGGTTACATCCCCAGTCGAGCCTCCATTATGTTTCCATTGTGTATTATAGTATTCTAATACTATAATACACAATAGAATGGCTGTCAACTTTATTTTGTACGAGTTTGGCGTCGCCAAACCCGATTCGCTGTGTTGACAGACTGAATAAATTTACACATTTTAGACTTTTGATTAATGTTCAAGAACTTTAAGATTATTTATTTGTAAATAGCGTGCAATTTGGCATTTTTTAAATAATTTGCATGCGAAATTTGGAAACGATTGTAACGTCAAAACACATCTCGTGTTGCATTTATACGTGTGAATTGACGTGTTAGTGACATTTTAGTGGCTACGCGGGCTAAGCCCACTCCCCCGTTCTATTATGTATGTATTATAGTATTCTATAGATGTAACACACTCTCAGAATACCAGCGTAAAATACCAGCGTAAAATACCAGCTTAGTGCTGCGGTATTTCGTATGGTGAGTGTATAGTACCGGAAACCCTTTTTACTTAAAACGAGGCTCCCATCTTTTATTTATTTATTTGGTTTTTAAGGGAAACATACAGTACAATAAAAAATACATTATAAAACATATAAAAGTAATCCTAAAACCAATGAAGTTTCCACAGATATCTAAAACATATTAAAAGCTTGCAACCACAATATGTTTAAAGATTTAAAAAAAATAACTAATTGGTATTTATATATAAACATTAAGTACTAAATATTTAAAAGTAATATAATACACACAACCTATAGTGAAGCTACCAATTATAAATTAAGTTTTACAATATTTTTTTATGACTATTATATTTAAGGTGAAAAATATCTAGTTCACAATATTTTAAGTTAAAATTTTTACATGTACGAGATACAAAATTATTTGAAGCATACTTAGTTTTTACTTTATGCAATGCAAAAAAGAAGCTTATTTTGTGCACCTAATCGGTGACACGCAAGATTCACTTTGCTTAAAAGTAGGGGAGATTCGATGATATTATGTAGTAGTTTGTACAACAACATTTGATCTCTTATATCACGACGTTTTTCGAGTGTATAACTGTGTAAGCTATCAATAATGGAGTCTACAGAAGAATTATATATTAAATATATAACGCTTTAAGTGACGCAGAAACTTATTATTGATTGTTTCAATCATTTTAACATAAACTTTGTATTGAGGATTCCAACATGAAGAACAATATTCAAGAATAGATCGCACCAGAATATTAAATGGTATAATTAATGTTGTAGAGTTTTTAAAATCTTTTGAGATACGCATAACAAAACCTAGCATTTTATAAGCTCTTTGAGTTATGATATTAATATGTGATCTCAGTAACTTACTATCCAACTGAATACCAAGATCACGCAGTTCATTTATTCTCTTTAGTAAATTATGGTCGAGCTTATAGTTAAAGAGGATTGGATTCTTTTTTCTAGTAAATGAGATAATATTACATTTCTTGATGTTCAAGTAAAGATGATTTGCTTGGCAATATGAGCTAAGCCTACACAGATCCTCTTGAAGTAGATTGCAGTCTTCTATGGATTTAATAGACCTGAAATTTTTATATCATCTGCTAAAAGGAGAATTTTGGAATTATGGAAGTAGGATATTGCATTATTTATAAATATTATAAATAGTAGTGGACCAAGATGCGAACCCTGAGGAACACCTGAACAAACGGGGGGAAATGATGACCAGTGTCCTTTTATTGCAACTGCCTGACTACGATTTATAAGATAAGAAGATATCCATTGAAGTAAATCACCATGTACACTTATTTGATCTAATTTGTGTATCAGAATACTATGTGAAATTTTGTCAAATGCTTTTGTAAAATCGGTATACACTGCACCTACCTGTAGTCCACTATCCATTGCAATATAGAGGTGATCAAGAAATTCGCAAAGATTACTTTCTGTAGACTTTCGACCTATAAAACCATGTTGTTCAGGAATTATAATTGGTTGAGCTATTTGGGAGATTGTGTCATAAATAATTTTCTCAAATAGTTTTGGAATCGAGCTTAATTTTGAAATTAGACGGTAATTTGAAATATCGTGCCTATTACCACTTTTAAATATGGGAGTTATGAACGATTTTTTCTATTCTAAAGGCATTTCACCCAACTTCATGGAAGTTCTAAACAAAATTGCTAATGGTTCAGCTAATTGACGGTAACATATTTGTAAAAACAAGGGTGGAATGCCATCAGATCCTGATACCTTACTGACATCTAAGCGTTTTAAATACATTGAAACTTTAGGGACTGTAAAAGTGACCGAATTTATATTAATCGAGTGAGCCGAGTTAGAAATCTGAGTATTATGATTTGGACTATTAACACTAAAAGCTGAGCTAAAACGAGTATTGAATAAATTACTTATTTTCACAGGATCTGAAGTCGTATTATCATCTAGAAACATTATGTTAGGAAGATCGTTACATTTTCGTTTTGATTTTACAAAAGACCAAAAGAATTTACTATTAATACCAATCTTATATTCAGCATTATTGATAAACTTGTTATAACAATCGTCCTCCATTAATTTTTGTCTCTCTCTTAGTACGGCAAAAGACTTGTAATCACTATCCTGTTTATACACCTTCCACTTGCGATGAAATTTTAATTTTTCATTTATAATTTTAATCAATGCGCTATTATACCAAATCGGGTATTTAGTGTTAAATTTAATAGTTTTAGTAGGTACATGTTTTTCTATTATATTATTTAAAATGTTATAAAAATTCGACACAGAGACATCGATATTACCGTCACTCAAATTAGATTCCCAGTCTATTTGCGAAAGATTTATATTTATTGCCTCATAATCGGCATCTCTATATAACTTGACTGTGTGAGTCCGAGCCTCGAGTATTTTCTCATATGATTTTAAAATTGTAAACTCAAAAGGTGGATGGTGCGAATCCTCTGAAACTATTGGAGTAGTTACTAAACTGACTTTGCAATTAATGTTGGCTATTAAGAGATCCAAAATACGATCATTAAAATTTTAAATATATTATACTGACTAAAATTATTAAAAGAAAGAAAATTTGCTAGTTCATTAACTGTATCCGATGAAAAATCTCCATGTAAGGTCACATCAGCATTACTATTATTCGACCAGAAAGCGTTAGGTATGTTAAAATCTTCTAATATAATGAAGTAGTCATCGGGGTGAGAGAACTTCATCAGAGATATGTTCATAAAAGTTAGACAACACATCTTTATGAATTTGACATTGTGGAAAATAACAACAGTATATGTTGCATCGTGTATGTCGTTCAAATGAAATATAAACACGAATCACGTCAGCAGCTGAATCTGCTGACGGGATGCATTCAACGTTAGTGACCTTTAGCTTACGTCTCATTGCAATCAGAACTCCTCCACCCATTGTATCACCTCTGACTTTGTAGTTACGATCGCTTCTATATATGTAATACCGTGCGTCGAATAAACGCGAATGTAACCAAGTTTCAGTGAAACAGATTATATCGTACTCATGACATAAGACCTTTCTGAAAAGCAAGTCAGTCTTAGTACGTAGACCCCGTATGTTTTGATAGTAAATTTTTAAATTAGAACCGATTTTTATACCAATGTAAATATATATGTCTTACATACTTTAGAAAGAAGTGTAAATGTATTTAAATGTTGTAGTAACTGTAAAAATTAAATAATATAAAATTAAAACTATCACCGAATGTGTCAAGGTCTCGTGCACAATGAAAATAATCCTATCATACTTTTGCGCGCCTAAGTTGACGTCTGGCACTAGCGCCATCTAGTGTCGGGTAACAGCGAGGAGAGCTTTCCAGAAAATGACATGACTAATCTTTTAACCAACAGCGCCATCTAGTACCGAATTGAAGAACTAAGCTTTCTAGAAGCCTCGCACTCGAACTTTCTGCGTCTGGTCGGTCGGCGCCCGTATCTACGGGAATATTCTGGATGTTTTGGCGTAAAAGTGTATCTAAACCCGCTGCATGCCGCGATCGGGGCAAGTATTGAATTTGGCGAGACAAGCGAAGCTTCGGAGCGAAATATAGTTATAATTGGTGTTCGGTAATAAAAGATAAATTTGGTAATTCAATCGGCAGTTTTTATTGTCACGAACCTCAAGCGCGTAACAATTGGTGTCAGAAGTGAGATAAAATCATGCCGATTTTACCTAAGGACAAGATGGAGGGTGTCCGTACCCGAAGTCAACGCCAGCAGGAGACGGATCAGAGACGATTTGGTGCTGCAACGCCGCAGACGTCAGAGGGCCAAGTGCCAGCCACGGAGGCTGGCCCGTCAGCAGCTCCTACACCTGCAGCACCTGACTTAGGTGCTCTGATGCTGCAGGAACAGGCCCGCCGACAGGAAGAGCAGATGCTCCTCGTGAAATACATGAACAATCGGGTTGATTACGTGATGGCTGACGTGAAGAAAACGCTGGACGACCTCAAACTGGTGGATGGAACTACAGCTCCCGTAGTAGCTACTACACTTTCGCTACGTGGGTTCAAAGTGCCACCGTTCGACGGGACTTCTTCCTGGTCAGCCTACAAAATCCAGTTCGAGGCTGTTATGATACCGAGCGGCTAGAATAAAAGTCAGGCCATGATTGCTCTCACACTAGGCCTGCGCGACCAGACCTTAACAGTTCTGGAAGCTCTCGGTGAGGAAGTGACTTATGAGCGACTCCTTGAGACATTGGAGGCGAGATATGGCAACGCTCACCTAGTACACGTCTTTCGTGCGCAGCTTAAAGATCGCGTGCAGCGCATCAACGAAAACCTGCAGCAGTGGGTTCTAGAGGTGGAGAAGCTGGTGCGAAAAGCATATCGGTCTGTACCTGCGCTCATTGAAGGGAACCTGGTGCAGACATTCATCGACGGCATCCGCGACCTGGAAGTCAGAGCTGCTGTAAGGCTCGGGTACCACGAGACGCTTAAGAACGCCTTGGCCCATGCACTCGAGGTGGAAGCCGTGCGGCAGGATCTTCGTTCCCATCGTGTCAGGGAGGTTGCAGCAGCTACGGCAGTTCGCGACTGCAATAATGGATACAGCCCTAGGTGCCATGGCTGTGGGGAAAGGGGCCATCTTCGATCCAGCTGCCCTAAGCGAACCGTAGAAAGGGAAGTTGATCGATCTCGAGAGGGTAGTGCAGCTAACGGCACCGCCTGGCGGCGGCAGGATCATCGTTCCCCTCACGCTAGGGAGGTTGCAGCAGTTACGGTTCGCGACCACAATAAAGGATACAGCCCTAGGTGCTATGGCTGTGGGGAAAGGGGCCATCTTCGATCTAACTGCCCTAGCGAACCCTAGAAAGGGAAGGTGAACGATCTCAGAAGGGAAGTGCGGCTAACATCACCGCCCAGCAGCAGCAGGAATACAACTTTACTATCAGACATCGCAGCGGGAAATTTCATGGCAACGCAGATGCATTGTCAAGAAGACCTTGTCCTGAAGATTACAACCATTGTACTAGGCAAGAGAGTAAGGAAGTGGTATCCGTGAGGATTCTCAGGACAGACCACCTCAGCAACGAGTGGAAGGACAGCTTACTACATGCACAGCAGGAAGATGCGGACATCAAGCCGATTCTGGAATGGATGAAGGCCAGTGCTCCCAAGACCAAGTGGAGCGACGTCTCAGCGATGAGTTCGACCACTAAAAGCTATTGGGTCCTATGGAACAGCTTGCTGCTTCAGGATGGAGTTCTGTGCCGTAAATGGGAAAATGTTCGGGGAGACAGCTGTCATTTGCAAATGGTCGTCCCTAAAGCTAGAGTACCGGATGTTCTACAGCTGTACCATAATGATTGTTCAGGAGGCCATCTGGGAGTTAAACGAACTCTACTGAAGATCCGAGAACGGTTAATTACTGGGTCCACTGTCGAAACGATGTCGAGGACTAGTGTCGCAAATGTATAAGTTGTGCGGCTGTAAAGGGACCTCAGACTCGTAGTAGAGGTGCATTGAAGTTGTACAATGTTGGTGCACCATGGGAGAGAATAGCCATTGACGTGGCGGGGCCGTTTCTGGAGAGTGAAAGCGGTAACAAGTATTTTATGTTTGTGATGGATTACTTCACTAAGTGGCCAGAAGTCTTCGCCATTCCAAATCAAGAAGCTTCAACAGTTGCAGATAAACTAGTTCATGAAGTCTTCTGTCGTTTTGGAGTACCTTTAGAGATTCACAGCGATCAAGGAAAGAATTTTGAGTCTCAAATATTCCAGGAAACTTGCCGAGTTATGGGTACTCATAAAACAAGAACGACTTCTTATCACCCGCGATTTGATTCGACGAAGTTCGACGAAGGTTCACTAGTGTGGTTGCACAATCCAGTCCGCAGCAAAGGGAAATCTCCTAAGCTTCAAGTTAAATGGGACGGTCCGTACCGGATTGTGACCAGGATCAAAGATGTATCCTACCGGATACAGAAAGGCGCAAGAGGGACTCCTAAGATCGTCCATGTAGATCGCCTGGCGCGTTATTATGGGTCCGATAATACTCGGGACGAGCATGTCTTAGGAGTCTAAGTTGACGTCTGGCACTAGCGCCATCTAGTGTCGAATTGAAGAACCAAGCTTTCTAGAAGCCTCACCCTCGAACTTTCTGCGTCTGGTCGGTCGGCGACCGTATCTACGGGAATATTCTGGATGTTTTGGTGTAAAAGTGTATTTAAACCCGCTGCATGCCGCGATCGGGGCAAGTATTGAATTTGGCGAGACAAGCGAAGCTTCGGAGCGAAATAAAGTTTTAATTGGTGTTCGGTAATAAAAGATAAATTTAGTAAATCAATCGGCAGTTTCTATTGTCACGAACCTCAAGCGCGTAATTGTAGTTAGTTAGTAAAAAGAGTGTTAGTTTAAAACGAAAAAGAGAACATACATAAAAATAAAAATAAGTTTGTCATATATAACATTTAAAACAAATTGCACAACTACCAACAGTGGTGCAAATAACATATCATAAGCCATAATGTAGTTAAAATAACAGTTAATTACAGTAATTAATATAATAATTCCTATTTTATTTTGAATAAATCCGTCATATTATTTATGTGTAAAATAGGACTACATTCAGATTTTCTTACCATAATACTACAGTTTTTAACCCATACAAATCTATAGTTATTATCCTTAGCCTTAATTTTCACCTGGCGCAATAAAGATTTATTTAAACTGGTCAAGTGGTCGTTGATAAATATCGAAGATTGAGTACCAGAAAAACCAAGATCACATGCTTTTAAGCTTTTAAGTTTCATTGTCTTACACAGAAAGTTATCTTTATTATACCTCGATATAAATCGCACTATAATTGGTTTAGGTTTTTTAGAGTCCTTGGTAGATGGTGCAACGCGTGTTATAAAATCAATATCCGATTTGTTAAAAGAAAAATTTACGTGTTTCGATATGTTCTCAATAATTTCGAAAAGATTTTCATTCTTCTTCTCGAGAATGCCACAAATTTCAATATTGAAACGCCGTGCCCATTGGTCTCTAACATTATTTTTATGCCCCAACTTTGCCAGTGAAGATTGTCCTACGTCATTACTCAAGCTATTTACCGACGTTAGGCTTTTATCATATATTTAAAATTTTTCTTTCATCTCATCATACTTATTATTAATGAAAGTTAAGGACATTTTTATTTCATGTACCTCGTCCTTAATGCTTTTAAGCTCGGAGTTTATAAACTTTTTAAAACTAAATTCAAGATCTCTTTTTAGGCCTGAAATCTCTTGCCTTATAAACCCCCGTAGGTGGCAAAAAGAGTCTGCAGATTTTTCTATCACTGACACTGGCGAAGTAGTGAGAGACTTATTCTTCGAATGTTTATTTCGCAATGTAACATGATACGTATTCGTCTGTGTAACGGCCATTTCGCAGGTCCTTGCGAAACAATACTGACAAGGACGCAACTATTTCATCTATCTATGTGCTAGAGTGAGACATATCATATGCGAAAACCTGCCACACTACTTACAGTTTTTTCGTTGTTTCGCTACCGCATACGAATGCGTAGGTGTACTAAAGGTATAAGACTGTCGGTGTCGCATTGGTTACGCGCTGGAATGCGGACAGGTGTACTATCCTTTTTAACCGTTTTAGGTTGCTTTGACAAACACGCTGGGCAGGTCCATTCTGACCCATTGTGAAGTGTTGGTTCTTTTTTGGATGATGCAGACACATAGGTACGACAGCAAACATACAACAAAGCCATTTTGATTAACTATTAAAATTTTTATTTTCATTTTTTATAAGCAACAAGCAAAAATTGCACTGGAAACCCCTTACGTTCTGCCCGAGAGTCCAATATCCGTGACAGTGATCGTTGACCTCGTCAATCTAAATAAATAAATCTTGATCTTGATCCTCAAGGTTGACAACGTATCAGCATTTTGTTTTTTTCCTTGACGATCTATAATGAAATGCAGTAGACATGTGATCGGTTGTAATGTTGATGAACACAATTATTTTGACAGGGTCCTGATGGTATGTCGGCGCTGCACATAGCAGCACAATTTGGTGGCTCTGCAGTTTGTAAACTGCTATTAGATGAGGGTCATGCCCTAGTGGACGCACGTGACGTCGGCGGCTGGACACCACTCGTCTGGGCTGCTGAGAATTCATACTCTGATGTCGTTAGGTGAGTAACAACATGCTAAGTGTAAAGCTTACCATATACTCATTAATTACAAAAATTTTGGTCCTTATTATCACAAACAAAATAAGCCCGAAATGTCGACTGGTTGATGGCTCAGTCAATCTTTCAGTAATTATTTGTAGGAAACATTTAAAAATCCTTTTGTGACAATTTCTACTCTGTGCGATGTTTGACCACAGATTATTATGCGTGTGACATTGGCATTAAGAATTTAAACAATTAATGTTTTATTTAATTTAATATATTTGTAAGACAAATTATACCGGGTATTTAAGAAACTCTTCCAGAAACGAAAACAGACAATAGTACTAACCATACCTTTGTTGATGGGTCAAAAAGAAAATCAATCTCAATGAAAAAAATCATCATCATTAAATCATTTTTATCCATCGCATGGTGTTGGTATGTTTATTATTCTAATGTATTGAGTTATGTACCTAATCAGTTCAGTTAAGTACAAAATTATTTAAAAAATTAGGTATGATACAGCTTACCGAACTAAATTCTCCGTGGCCATATGAGATGCGGCTCAAATTGTGTTCCATTCATTTCGAAGCAAATTTGGGCTTGGCGATGCGTCTCCTCATGCAAGCTGGGCATCATCGTGGGGTCTTTGACACATTCCGCACGTAGTTTGTCGAAAACATCTACGATCCGGTGGATCCTAAAAATTGCGGTTGCCAAACCATTTTCTAAGAGAGGGAACTTTGGCACATGTTATCCTACGTTCAGCAGTGGTCTTTTGATACGTTGGATTTAATAATTAATGATGGATAATATCCTGAATTAGCAGAGAGGAAAAAGGTAATATGTTCGTAGTCGATTTATTGGTAGTTGTGATCTAGCGACAATAGAGAAGTTAAGAAACATTAGTAATAAAAAGTCTTAAGCTGACGACATACATACTTTATAATAAGATACCATTTTTGTGGTCAATTTCACTATCCGTTTTTATTACGATTATTACGAGTATATTGCTAAAATAAATGCATAAAAAATGTTTAATTCAGAGTGTTGTTGGAACGTGGCGCGGACCCAGTGGCGTTGGACAAGGAAGGCAACGCGGCGGTGCACTGGTGCGCGCTGCACGGCGACGCGCGCTCGCTGCGCCTACTGCTGGACGCCGCGCCGCACGCGCACGCCGCGCTCAACGCGCACGCGGACACGCCGCTGTGTGTATACTGTGCACGCGCTCTGTTGCTCTGTTGGACTGTACACTGTACAAGGAAGGCGACGCGCGCTCGCTGCGCCTACTGCTGGACGCCGCGCCGCACGCGCACGCCGCGCTCAACGCGCACGCGGACACGCCGCTGTGTGTATACTGTGCACGCGCTCTGTTGCTCTGTTGGACTGTACACTGTACAAGGAAGGCGACGCGCTTTCGCTGCGCCTACTGCTGGACGCCGCGCCGCACGCGCACGCCGCGCTCAAAGCGCACGCGGACACGCCGCTGTGTGTATACTGTGCACGCGCTCTGTTGCTCTGTTGGACTGTACACTGTACAAGGAAGGCGACGCGCGCACGCTGCGCCTGCTGCTGGACGCCGCGCCGCACGCGCACGCCGCGCTCAACGCGCACGCGGACACGCCGCTGTCTGTATACTGTGCACGCGCTCTGTTGCTCTGTTAGACTGTACACTATACAAGGAAGGTGACGCGCGCTCGCTGCGCCTACTGCTGGACGCCGCGCCGCACGCGCACGCCGCGCTCAACGCTCACGCGGACACGCCGCTGTGTGTATACTGTGCACGTGCTCTGTTGCTCTGTTGGACTGTACACTGTACAAGGAAGGCGACACGCGCTCGCTGCGCCTGCTGCTGGACGCCGCGCCGTACGTGCACGCCGCGCTCAACGAGCACGCGGATACGCCGCTGTATGTATACTGTGCACGCGCTCTGTTGCTCTGTTGGACTGTACACTGTACAAGGAAGGCGCCGCGCGCTCGCTGCGCCTGCTGCTGGACGCCGCGCCGCACGCGCACGCCGCGCTCAACGCGCACGCGGATACGCCGCTGTAAGTATACTGTGCACGCGCTCTGTTGCTCTGTTGGACTGTACACTGTACAAGGAAGGCGACGCGCGCTCGCTGCGCCTGCTGCTGGACGCCGCGCCGCACGCGCACGCCGCGCTCAACGCGCACGCGGACACGCCGCTGTGTGTATACTGTGCACGCGTTCTGTTGCTCTGTCGGACTGTACACTGTACAAGACGGAAGGCGACGCGGCGGTGCACCGTGCACGCTTTGTGTGCAGCAGTGCGGACCGCAGCCTAGCGACAAGTATGGGACCTACCCAGACGGATACCTGGACAGAAAAGGAGTCCCAGCCTAAGACTTCTGTGTGTACTACTGGACCGGCAATTAAGAACATACATCGCGTCACAGCTGTAGATCGCGCAGATGCGGTCGCGTAAATATGGCATGCAATTGTAATTTCATTTAAGACGAGTTACTGCTTTTAGAAAAATACGGAATAAAGTTACAAACTTATCTGAAATACATTTCAAATCACGTTGACAAAGTTCGCAATTAAATAATGATAGTATTTTATTAGTCACATTAAATAAAATCACTGTTATTAGATTGTCGAAAACAACGTTCGCGGTTTACAAAACAAAAAACTGGTCTTCATGCCTGCTTGCAGTCGACTAAAATGGTTACGGGGAATTGACCGTAACTTAGTGGTGCGTCTTAGTGGCTGCAGATCCCGTGTAGAAGTATAAATAGAAGTTTTTAGTCCCAGCGCAACCCAGTCCAAAAAAACAACTCCCGCACACGCACTGCGCCCGTAGTTGCAGTCTGACCAAGCACTTAAGATTTAAATAACTTATGATTTATCTAAATACCAAAATATTTATATATTGTTTCTATCATAATTTGAAAATGTAGCATTGTGTGCACGCCATTTTGTCTATGTAACTAAATCACGTTCTATCCTGGCCGTACAACGTTTGTTTATTTCAAAACTAATAATATTTTATATTATTTATAATTTCCAGAAATAAGTTTTGTTATTTACTGACAGGCATGTTGCGGCCCGTCAAGGTCACTACGCGTGCGTGGTCATATTACTCGCGAGAGGAGCTAGGGTAAGTTTAACATATTAATGAGACAAATTAAAGCTAAATTATAAAATTATATAACATACTCGTACTTATAGAGGTTTTATATACGACGCGCACGTTCACTGATTTCTAGGAAACGGCTGAACCGTTTTTATTAAATAGTTTACTTTAGGGGGTTTCAATAAAAAACTTGCATCACTAAAGGTGGAAAAAAGGGAATTAAGGTTTTTAATGTAACTATTTAGACCTATTCTAACCTCACCTTGAACTTGTTATATCCCTTGGTATAGTCTATCCAGAAGGGTAAAATAATTAAAATGTTGATAAAAAGTATATAATTTCATATACTGCCTCGTTGGTCTAGTGGTTGTAGTAGTGCGACTGCTGATCATGAGGTCCTGGGTTCGAATCCCGGGTCGGGGCAAAAAATCAATTATTGAGTTTTACTATCAAGAAATTCTCAGTAGCTGCCCGAAGTCAGGAAGTTGACGGTGTCTCACCCCCGTGCCTCGGAAAGCACGTAAAGCCGTTGGTCCTACGCCTGATCTCTCTCCGGTCGTGTCGGTTTACCGTCCCATCGGATTATGAGAGTGAGGGAACAGAGAGTACACCTGTGCTTGCGCATACACTTGGGCACTATAATCCTGTCCTGCGCCGATGGCTAGCCTCCGTTGAGGCAGGCCGCCGTGGCCGAAATTCGGTCTGGAGGACATTATTATTATTATTTCACATAAATGTCAGATCTCCCTGATATATATCAGGAAGATCGGACAATGCCTGTGTGCCCAACCGAGAAGTGATGTGTATATAATATAATTTTAAAAATGGGAGTGAAAGAATATATGTTGTTTTAAACCTTCCGAATTTCTAAACTTTCCTTTTAAAAAGATTATTCTTTGGGTTTTTCGCAGACGGACATGGAGAACTCTGCGGGTGAGCTGCCAGTGGAAATTTGCTCAGGCCAATGTCAGACGGCTATCTCAATCAACATGCAAATGGCTCTCGCCGTCTCCGACAAACCTTTGCGATGTCGCTTATTATCAAAGTACGTTTTACAGCTTTGGCGTTATTTAATTAGTTTTTAAAATGAAGATAGGTTAAAAGAGCAGTACATAAAACAGCTATTTGAAAAAACACAATACCACATTTTCATTTTAACTTATTGTAAATATCATATGGTCATGGAGGTGTGAGATATTTTATGTATTTACGTCATCGGTAACATACTTTTAGTTTTTTTATTATAATTTAGTTTTACTTATGACCGAGGGTTTGTTCCGAAACGTTTCCAGTATACTGCCGAATACAAATGACGTCATCAATTGATGCCGTATTGTACTGGCGTGCCGCCGTCATATTGTGTCGGATATCCGCCCATATTAAAACAATTTTTAATTGTGTATTACGCTGAATGAAGCATGCCAGAATTTGTTTTTATTTATTCATATACAAAAACTTATAGAATAATTGCTGGTATCTCCATTAGGAGGATATAATGACTTTTGGAGCACAAAATGACAAAATAATCGCCAACACTTTTCAACTTGACAATACTTTATGACGTCATATACTGTCCTATGTTTTGGAACGAATCACCAGTATGGCGTCGATTCATGACGTCATTTGCATTGGACAGTACACTGGGTTCTATTTTGGAACATACCCCGAATAATTAGCAAACGGAACACGAAATATCTCTAGATGTGTTAGCCTAAGTTTAAATAAACATTTCAAAATAGTCATGATATTTTTGAGATTATAACGTACCAAATGCCCAAATCCAGAACTTCCTGTTTGTAGTCTGAACCCTAAACCATTTGGCTACTGTCTTTTCACAGGTTGTATATTTGTGATTAGACCAACGATAAGTGTACAGCCGGTATCCGACTATACTTCGATCGTGTTTTACAACTGTTAAATATTATACTTAATCACTTATATGATATCCCCTTAGAAATGTGTGTGAAAATGAAAAATGACTGTTGCAGTGACATCTCTAACGGACGTGAACTGTATCCGGTTCCGTGCGTGAACGAGATAGACGACACGCCGCTGCCCGACGACTTCACGTATGTGACGCGGCACGTGACGCCAAGCCCCGTGCCCGTCGACACGTCGCTCAGCACGCTGCAGGTGTGTACATAAACAACTGTTGCACTGCATTGTTGTACCGCGAGCGTCACTACACACGACTTACATTCGTGAACATTTGCGCATATCCCAGGCTCAGATCTTTACAAAATATCATATTCAAATTGATTCTATATAGATATTTTAAATGGATAACCTGAAATTTTTTGTATTTAGTCGGTAGTAGGTTTTAACTAGAGTCTGTCTTATTGCAGTCCTATTGTATAAGATACCTGTAAAATATCCAAACTAAAATGTAAAGTATGAAATTTGACAACAATTGTCACATTTCGCGCGCGGCCTAGGAACTTCTTTAGTTAGAAAGAGTATTCTTAAACCATAGTTTAAACAAATTATCAATAAACTTTGTTTTTTAAATAGATGGAAAGCATTTGTAAGTATGTATATACACACACATATATATATATATACAGTGGTGGTCATATAATTAAGAACGCTGATATAAGGGGAAGATTTTTTCAAACTAAAACACAAAACTAATTGCATGCAATTTTTTTTATTTCTCTCGGTATCGTAAAACTTTTCCTTAACCACCACTGTATTTATTGATACACATGATTAGCTAAAAATAAATAGACAAACTTTTTACACTATTTCTAAACATAGTATTTCTATTTACTGGCTGGTCACATAATTAAGAACGCTAAATAATTTATACCTTTATTCTATTTTAAATAGAGAACACTCTAAAAGATTGAAAGTGATTGCTTCTTAGGAAAAAACAATGGGAAAAAATAAAAGTTGTGACATATCTACAAGGGAAGTAATAATAAAACTTCGCCGGAAGAATTGGTCTTATAAAAAGATAGCCAACCACCTGCAATGTTGAAAAACGATGGTTTTCCACGCTGTAAAGTATTTTGCTACGTATCAAACTACTTCGAATGTTCCACGTATACCTAAACAGAAAAAAACAACTCCTTGAGATAACCGAAACATCGTTCGTATGGCAAAACAAAATCCTTTTAAAGGATCCAATAAGCTGAGAAAAGAATATTTTGGTGAAAACAACCCTTCAGCAATCTCAGCACGCGCTATTCGAAGACGTTTGGTATAAGAAAAATTGCACGGTAGGATAGCAAGAAAGGTACCTATGTTGAAACTTTGCCACAGGCAAGCCCGGCTTGCATTTGCGAGAAAGTATGGAAACTGGACTATGCGACAGTGGAAAAATGTACTTTTTCTGACGAGACGAAAATAAACAGAGTATTTTCTGATGGAAAACGATATGTACGACGTCCCCCGAATACAGCATTCAACCCTATAAGTACAAATCCATTACATTAAAGGATGGTGGTGGAAATGTGAAAATCTGGGGGTGCTTTTCTGGACATGGTGTTGGACCTGTAAAGTTGATAGAAGGTAACATGGATCAGTTCCAATACAAAAAATATACTGGAAGAAACAATGTTACCTTATGCTGAAGACGTTCTACCGGTTATTTGGACGTTTCAGCATGACAATGATCCAAAGCACACTGCACGCACCGTAAAGAAATTTCTTACAGCGCAATCAGTTTCTGTCTTAGACTGGCCAGCTAACAGCCAAACCCAATAGAGAATCTGTGGTTCGAAGTAAAGAAAAATGTTGCAAATACATAGTGTGGTAATTTAAGAGAGCTGTTTTTTTAGAAGAAGGGAACTCTATTTCTCTTGCGAAATATCAAAAATTAATTGAGTCAATGCCTCGCCGGTGTAAAGCTGTAAATAAAAGCCGTGGATATGCTATTGACTATTAATTTTAGTTAAAAATGTATTAAATTGCTTTCTAAATTTTCCGCGCTACATATTATTGTGATTTTTTAAATGTAAGTGTCATACAAAACAATTTCCGAGCAGTTTAATAAATCGTTCTTAATTATTTGTTCAGTTTCAGTATTATTTGAATGAGTTACTTTGGTAAAATAAATAAAATGTGAAAAAAAAAGTTAACGATTTTATTCTTTATTCCTAAGCCACGTTGCTCTATTAATGTGGCTATTTTATAACAGAAGGTGCACATTTCTGTGTACAATATTTAAAAAAAAAACTTCTAGAACTTCAAATCGTACTTAATTATGTGACCACAACATATATATATATATATATATATATATGGTGTGTGTGTAAGTGGAAATCGTACGTGATATGTACCACAACTCCGATTCAATAGTCAGGACCGCTGTTGGTAATACCGCCCCCTTCCCCATAGCCGTAGGCGTGCATCAGGGTTCCGCCTTAAGCCCCTATCTCTTCAGTGTGATATTAGACGAACTGTCAGCCAGCGTACAGAAACTACCGCAGCCTTGGCTGCTTATGTACGCGGATGATATCGCACTGGTAGATGGGGAAAAAGGACGGCTCACCAGACGCGTGCACGCATGGAGGGAGGCGCTTGAGAGAATGGCGGGCTGAGCTAAATGTGGCGAAGACGGAGTATATGGCCTGCAACAGCACAGATCTGACATCTCTCCGTATAGGCGACGACACCGTCGAGCGCACGGACAACTTCAGGTACCTCGGATCTGTGCTTGATGCGTTCGGGGACATCGATCGCGACATCAAGGCCCGTATATCAGCGGCCTGGGCGAAATGGCGCGAGGTGACAGGTGTCATTTGTGACCCCAAAATGCCGGTCAAGCTGAAGGGACAGGTCTATAAGACCATCATAAGGCCTGTCCTTACGTACCGCAGTGAAGCGTGGCCGGTGCTAGAGCGACACCGGCAGTTATTGCATGTCACGGAGATGAACATGCTGCGGTGGATATGTGGCGTCACGCGGAAAGACCATGTACGGAATTCATACATCCGCGGCAGCCTCCATGTCCGTGACATTGCTGACAAGCTCCAGGAAAGTCGCCTCCGCTGGTACGGCCACGTCTTACGACGACCGGCAAGCTACGTGGGAAGCAAATGCCTGGACATGACCCTACCTGGTACCAGGAGTAGAGGACGGCCCAAGAAACGCTGGCTTGATGTCATGCAGGAGGAGAATTATTGAAGTTTTTTATTTATCATTAACTTATTACGTTGTTTTTATCTTTAAATATTACATGCATGTAAGCATAACTTTTGTACATTTGATTTCCTTTACAAGAAATGTAGATATTTAATAAAAAATATTAAGACCTTTCTCCTGGACGTATAATGTTCACGAAAAATGAGAAACACCCATGACATGTGAATTGTCCAGGGCTGCGAGTGCCGCGCGGGTGAGTGCGGAGGCCCGGCGTGCGGCTGCAGCGTGCTGGGCGTGCGCAACTGGTACAGCGGCGACCGCCTCCTACCGGGGTTCCCCTTCCACGACCCGCCCATGCTGTTCGAGTGCAACGAAACGTGCGCCTGCAACTTGGTTAGTGTGTTATTTTACTTTGTACATAATTTCCTTAAATATATAATAGGGTGTTCTTTTTAAATTGCTGTATATCGCTTATCGCAACTCCAAAATACTGAGCAGAAAATCCAAACTCACCATCTACCGGACGGTCATAAGACCTGTTGTGACTGGCATGCGAAACCTGGACACTTACACAGAGGGACGAAGCGAGACTGGCGGTATTTGAAAGGAAAGTGCTCAGAAACATATTTGGACCGGTCCGAGAATCTGATGGCACGTATCGCCAGGGCATGAATCATGAGCTTGATGCTCTTATAGGACGTGAGACCATCGTCAGGTTCTGTAAATCACAGTGGCTGAGATGGGCGGGCCACCTGAAACGAATTTCGGATTCTAGGGCCGTGAAAATCATGACCAAGTGGACTCCCCAGCAAAAGAGACCAAAAGGCAGAAAGGTAGAAAATGTGGAAGAGGATCTGAGAAGAATGGATAAATACACCAACTGGTGCAGGGAGTCGAAGGATCGCGACAAGTGGAGGAATGTTGTGGAGGAGGCCGGGGCCCGCAAAGGGCTGTAGCGCCACAGGATAGGATAGGTGTATCGCTTATATTAGGCACAGTTCCAGTGCACATAACCTGTTTTAACAACAACTCCATTACTATTCAGTTTAGGCTGCGATTATTGGTGCTCGTTTACATTAGAAAAGATCCCAATAAAATTGCTTACAAAAATTAATTTAAGAACAATATTTTGAACGCAGTAAAACTACATTACCACTAATTGTTACTACCTCTATTTAGATGTAGGGTATGTTCCAAAACGTTTCCAGTATACTGCCGAATACAAATGACAAATGACGTCATCAATTGACACCATATTGTAATGGCGTGCCGCCGCCATATTGTGTCGGATATCCGGCCATAATAAAACAATTTTTAATTGTGTGTACGCTGAATGAAGCATGCCAGAGTTTGTTTTTATTTATTCAAATACAAAAAATTAAAGAATAATTCTGGTATCTCCATTAGGAGGATATAATGACTTTTAGAGCACAAAATGACAAATTAATCGCCAACACTTTTCCAATATGACGCCAATGTATGATGTCATAGACTGTCATTTTGAAACGAATCAGCAGTATGGCGTCGATTTATGACGTCATTTGCATTGGACAGTACACTGGGTTATATTTTGGAACATCTGTTAAACAAACATGACAGTGACAGCCGTCGTTTTACCCTATTATAGGCACAAGGTAAACAGAATAGTTTTGAATAAATATGTTACTCATTTGATGAAGTTGGTTGTAACATTGGTCTATGTACAACCAACCGGCCAACTTCAAATAAAGGTGGGGTTACTTAATTCGACCGTGTTTTTATATGTGTTACCTCGAAACTTTTTTATAGGTTAACCTATTTTGATGATTATTCTTTTATTTGAAAGCTGGTTCTTCTCATGTGGTCCAATATAAATTTGATCAAGATCTGACCAGTAGTTATCCTTAATAATGCATATTACATTGATTTCGACTAGATCGATCATTTTATTTATATTGAAGTGGTACGTTTGGATACATTTGGTTGGTAGAGTCATGCTGCAGCTATATTATGGTTGTAACTCTGGGAAAGGATCACATTCCCACAGAATACCAGCGTAAAATAGCAGCTGCTGTGTAGAGTACCGGAGACCCTTTTTACTGGATATGAAGCATTCCATCTTAGTTCTCAGGGGTGACAACAGATCTGCATTTTGATTCTTAACACTCACTGTCCGGTTTTCAGAAACAATAGTAAGACAATAGCAATGACCTATATGTAGTGCACGGGACAGCGAAAGGGTAAAACAGGGATAAATGTAGATGTCTATGGGTCACAGTATCCACTTACCACTGGGTGTACTTTGTGCTAATTTGTTACCCTAATTCTTTTTGTAAAAAAAAACCTTCATGAGTGGTTCGTGTGCAATTTGTTATATTCATGTCGCGTACACATTCGCAATGTTTACGTCGTGCACATATTCGTGTTTGGCATGTAATTTGAAATATTTATGTCGTGCACATATTAGTGGTTGGTATGAACTTAAATAGTAATATTTATATCTTGCACATATGTGTGGTTGCTATGAAATTTGTAATATTTATTTCGTGCAAATATTTGTGATTGGCATGGAATTTCTAATAAACTTAGTGGCATGGAATCTTGGCCAAGCACTTATCTCACGATAGCAATCGCTTTAAGTGTTTCTGATGAAAGTTTGTCATGCAGGTATATCAAAAATGTTTCCCCTAAAGTTCAAGAGGGTAATTCATTATGTTTAAGTGCACCATGACAGATTCTTTAATTTTTTGTTGAATCTGGTCATTTGAGCGACTAAGTTCACATTTTAAATTTGTGTGTTGTGAAAAGATTACTGTAATGTTATTCAATTATTGTGATCTTGTGTCTTATTTCAATAAAGGTGCTTTAAAACCAATAAAAATGCCATTAACACCAGCACAAGTTACACTAGCAGTAGCATTAATTGACCAAGGGCTGGCACAGTGTGAAGTTGCTATTGTGTTTAACGTACCAGGGTCCTCAATGCAGTATGCACTGAAACGATACCAGGAGACAGGCCGCTACACCCGCAGGCCAGGCAGTGGGGGCGTAAGGTGCACATCGGCCCGGGACGATCGTTTTATTGTTCTGGAGATTTTGAGAAACTGCTACCTGACCGCTGTTGAGATACGCCAGCAGCTCCAAATCGTGAGAGGCGTTAATGTTACTGAGCGTACGGTGAAAGCTCGTAGACCAACACGAGGTCCAAAACTTCTCAACGTCACCGAGTAGCCCAACTTCAGTTAGCTAACGGCTAGAGTGTTGTTCGCAGATGAGTGTCGAATGGCTTTACGTGCTCCAGATGGTCGAGAACGAGTGTGGAGAAAAAGAGGAGAGCTTTCTACCAATTATCACCACGCAAACTGTGAGTTTCCATGGAGGCTCAATAATGGTATGGGGCTGTGTAAGTTCCGACGCACGTACAGAGTTGGTCATCGTCTATAATCGGCTTACAGCTACTCGATACATCGAGGAAGTTCTTCAGGAGCTCGTATTGCCTTATTCGGGGTTCATTGGACACGACCAATTCCTCCTCATGCACGATAATGCACGCCCACACGTCGCACAATGTGTAAAGGAAGAGGTTGGAATACAAAAATTACAGTGGCCAGCTCGTACCCCGCACTTAATCCAATTTAGCATGTGTGGGGCATGCTCAAAAGAACGATAAAGTTCAGCTCCAAACTGCCACGAACTCTAAATCAGCTCCGAAATGCAGCGTTGGCCACGTGAGACAGCATACCGCAAGTTGATGTCAGAAACATCATTCAAAGCATGCCAGGTCGAATGTAGGCGGTTATCAGGGCTAGAGGAGGAAACACCCGATATTAATACTGATGGACAATAAAGAAACAGACTTAATTTTTAACTTTGTCGTGTTTTTAAAGTGACAATGAAAAGATGTTAATTTTAGTGAAAACATGTTATCTTGAAAAGAAAAACTTTGTTGAAGTTGTAGTAACCGTTAAAGACACTTATTAAATCCACCTACCCTTAGTTTACTGTTAAAACACGTTTCAGTGCAAATAATCAGCAAATTCACGAGTGGCCAAGTTTCCGTGCCGGTGAGGTATTTATGTCGTGCATGCATTTGTTGTTACTTAATTTTTATAATTGTCGAACTATAGCGATTGCTTCACGTAAGGTATTAACGCCAGCAGAAATGTACGGTTGGATCGTACACATGTGGTTGGTATGAAATTAGTAATATTTGTGGCATACACATATGAGTGGTTGCCATGAAATTTGTAATATTTATGTCGCGCATATACATATTTGTGGTTAGCATGTAATTTGTAATATTTATGTCGTGCATGCATTTGTTGCTGGTTTGTAATTTGTAATATTTATGACGTGCAAATATTTATGGTTGGTATGAAATTTGTAATATTTATGACGTGCAAATTTTTGCGGTTTGTATGAAATTTGTAATATTTATTTCGCGCATATACGTATTTGTGGTTAGCATGTAATTTGTAATATTTATGTCGTGCAAATATTTGTGGTTGGTATGAAATTTGTAATATTTATGTCGTGTAAATATTCATGGTTGTACATGAGTGAGTACAAAAAATAATATTTGTCTCACTCATTCATGTATTTGTTGATGTTTTTGGGTGAAATAGTGAAATGTCGAAGCATGTTGTCAGCGCCTAAATCGTCGCGTTCAGCGAGCGGATAGATCATAGTAGTACTAGACGTACTAGTGACCTTAAATTCTTCACCCCACGTCGTTCCGTGGTTGTCTGAGCTTAACGTAGTGGCTATGTTGCAGCGGCAGTGCAACAACCGCGTGGTGTCGCGTGTGGAGGCGGGCGGGTCGCTGGGCGTGCGCGCGCAAGTGTTCCGCAGCGCGCGGAGCGGTTGGGCGCTGCGCACACTGCAGCGCGTGCGTCGCGGCGCGCCCGTCGCGCTCTACTGCGGCGAGCTGTTGCCGCGCACGCTTGCCGACGAGCGCCCGCGCGACCAGTACATGTTCGCGCTCGACCTCAAGCCCGACTTGCTGGAGGTGCGTGTGTATGTGTGTAGGTACCGTCGCGCTCTACTGCGGCGAGCTGCTGCCGCGCAGGCTTGCCGACGAGCGCCCGCGCGACCAGTACATGTTCGCGCTCGACCTCAAGCCCGACTTGCTGGAGGTGCGTGTGTATGTGTGTAGGTACCGTCGCGCTCTACTGCGGCGAGCTGTGGCCGCGCTCGCTTGCCGACGAGCGCCCGCGCGATCAGTACATGTTCGCGCTCGACCTCAAGCCCGACTTGCTGGAGGTGCGTGTGTATGTGTGTAGGTACCGTCGCGCTCTACTGCGGCGAGCTGCTGCCGCGCACGCTTGCCGACGAGCGCCCGCGCGACCAGTACATGTTCGCGCTCGACCTCAAGCCCGACTTGCTGGAGGTGCGTGTGTATGTGTGTAGGTACCGTCGCGCTCTACTGCGGCGAGCTGCTGCCGCGCACGCTTGCCGACGAGCGCCCGCGCGACCAGTACATGTTCGCGCTCGACCTCAAGCCCGACTTGCTGGAGGTGCGTGTGTATGTGTGTAGGTACCGTCGCGCTCTACTGCGGCGAGCTGCTGCCGCGCAGGCTTGCCGACGAGCGCCCGCGCGACCAGTACATGTTCGCGCTCGACCTCAAGCCCGACTTGCTGGAGGTGCGTGTGTATGTGTGTAGGTACCGTCGCGCTCTACTGCGGCGAGCTGCTGCCGCGCACGCTTGCCGACGAGCGCCCGCGCGATCAGTACATGTTCGCGCTCGACCTCAAGCCCGACTTGCTGGAGGTGCGTGTGTATGTGTGTAGGTACCGTCGCGCTCTACTGCGGCGAGCTGCTGCCGCGCACGCTTGCCGACGAACGCCCGCGCGACCAGTACATGTTCGCGCTCGACCTCAAGCCCGACTTGCTGGAGGTGCGTGTGTATGTGTGTAGGTACCGTCGCGCTCTACTGCGGCGAGCTGCTGCCGCGCAGGCTTGCCGACGAGCGCCCGCGCGACCAGTACACGTTCGCGCTCGACCTCAAGCCCGACTTGCTGGAGGTGCGTGTGTTTGTGTGTAGGTACCGTCGCGCTCTACTGCGGCGAGCTGCTGCCGCGCACGCTTCATAGACTGCCCCTAAAGATTTATTCTTAAGGAACATTTTGTCATAGTTGTATTGCTTAGCAAGCGTATTGGCAGCCGCAGTTTTTATATTTTAGTCGTTATTAGGAAGATGCTGCCGCCTTTCTCCTGATATGTTTCCCTCTGTCGCCTCTTACGACACCCACGGGATGACATGGTGTAGTGAGTATTCTTACACATCCACTCACTACACGGTGGTCTATCTTAATAAGTTTAAATAGATACAAACCGTGAATTAAAAAAAATAAACGGGAGATTAGACTAGACTGTTCATAGCTTGTGCGTATCCGTTCGGCCAGGAGTGCTTGCTGAAGCAGCGGCTGTGCGTGGACGCGGCGGCGTACGGCAGCGCGGCGCGCTTCGTGAACCACAGCTGCCGCCCGGCGCTGGTGCCCGTGCGCGTGTTCACGCGGCAGCGCGACCTGCGCCTGCCCGTCGTCGCGCTCTTCGCCGCCAGGGACCTGTCCGCCGGCGAGGAGCTCACGTACGTGCTACACTCATACTCACACACACGCAGCCCACTTTGTTCACCGCACCACACCCAACACACACTGAAGCGCACCCAACTCACTTAAACCACACTGTCACACTACTACTACGGCCCTCAGTTACCCCGACAAAAGTCGACTGGGCTAGGGTCCATCAGTAACCCAATTCGACGAGCAACCGAGGGTCGGGCCCAAATGGCCTATGGATAATTAATTTATAATGGCTGGATAAGCAAACACAAACTTACCGAATTTCGGAGGTAGGGTCGACCACAAGGTGCCGTCAGGGGCAAGTAAATGGTAGTATGTGAGTGGTGTAGGAAGGTGTGTAACGTAACCTGACGTCACCGATGTAATCGGCTAGCAGAACCACATGCTCTGCCCTGCTACACAAGATGCAATCACTCCAGTGGGCGCTCACCGTTATCTGAACTCAAGTCTAACGTCACTTAGCACAAAACTATAATCGAAGAGAACGCAATGTCCTCCCGGATCATAAAGTCTAGCGTTAAACCGACAAAGCAAAATTCCTTGTCACGTAGAAGTACAAAAAAAAGACAACGCAAGGAGGCCGCCGTAATGCGACATAACGATTATTACGTAACTCCCGACATCTAACCGGCACGGCCGTCGCGTACAAACGAATATTCTAGACCCATAGGCGCGGCAGCAGGCCACACAACGAAATGCCCCCCCCCCCCCGCACCGCCAATCCGGCCGGTTCCCTGCCCGAGACGATCGCCTTTGCAAGTTTTAAATCGTTACGATTAGGCCTAAACAACTACCAACAACGTACTGACAAACCAAAACCTTGCTGCACAAAACATACATTTCAGTCTTCATGCCCTTTTTTAATCCTTGAATCCAGCAACTTGTTCTGTTACTGTTGTTGTATCCTGGTGATTTTTTTATAGAAGAGGGGGCAAACGAGCATGCGGCTCACCTGATGCTAAGTGAATACCGCCACCCATGATCAACCGCAACACCAGGCGAATTGCAGGTGCGTTGCCGGCCCTTGAAAAAGGAGTAAGCTCTTTTCTTGAAGGTCCCCAGGTCGTATCGGTCCGCAAAATCGCCGGTGGTAAACTATTCCACAGAGAGTTCGTACGCGGAAGAAAAGTCCTTGTGAAACGTTACAGTGGTGGACCGCCGAGCATCCAGATGGTGTGGATGGTATCGGGACGTTTGCCGCGTAGTGCGTTCACAAAATTTGGCGGCTGGGATTAATCCGAACAATTCCTCAGAGCACTCCCCATGGTATATGTGAAAGAAAATGCAAAGAGATGCAACATCTCTTCTTAGCGCCAGTGAATCGAGCCGATCGGATAGCACTCGGTCGTCGACGATTCAAGCCGCTCTGCGCTGGATGCGGTCAAGTGGAAGGAGCTTGTACTGGGGAGTACCAGCCCAGAGATGGAAACAGTATTCCATGTGCGGCCGAACCTGCGCCTTGTAAGGTTGCAGGCGGTGTGCCAGCATGAAATACTGTCCCGCTCTGCTGAGCACGCCAAGCTTTTTAGAGGCCAATTTAGCCTTGTCATCCAAGTGACCACGAAACTCACTCGATATGTCGACGCTTAGGATTCCGATACTGGCTGAGGCAACAAGGGGAGTGCCTCGAAATTGAGGAGATACGACAAAGGGTAGTTTTAGCGTTTAACGCGCAAACTTGTGTCTTCTGAGGGTTAAACTGGACTAGATTTAGTCGCCCCCAATCCGAGACTCTGTTCAGCAAAGACTCGACTTCAGACACAAGTTTGTCCCGGTACTCGGGGACGTTTTCCCGAGAAATATTGGCACGGCCGGTGTACAGAGCATCACCAGTGTTGTAATTTACAAGGCAATGAATGTTACGGGTTTGCAACATATCTTTGTTAAGCAGAAGAAACAGCGTTGGCGATAGCACGCAGCCTTGTGGAACACCAGCATTAATGGGCTTATAATCGGAGCTGGCACCGTTTATAACGACCTTGACGCTCCGATCTGCAAGAAAGCTGGTGATCCAATTGCACAATTTCTCGGGAAGTCCATAGGAAGGGAGCTTTGAAAGAAGCGCTTTGTGCCAAACCCGATCGAAGGCCTTCGCAATATCCAAACTAACGGCCAATGCCTCCCCCTTGGAATCTACTGCCTCCGCTCATCTGTGAGTTAGGTTAGACCAGAAGATCACCAGCTGATTGACCACGGGGAAAACCGTATTGGCGATCACTCAGTTGGTGATCCTCAAGGTACCTCATGAGCTGGCAGTTTACAATGGACTCCATTGTTGTGGAGAACAAGGAGGTGATGGCGATAGGCCGGTAGTTGGACGGGTCTGAGCAGTCGCCTTTTTTAGGGATCGGGTGGATGAAAGCAGTCTTCCATGATTTTGAGACAACGCCTAGGAAGTAGGAGTACCGGAAAAGACGCGTTAAAACCGGTGCCAACTCTGGAGCACACGTCCTCAGCACAATTGGGGGTATTCCGTCAGGCCCACTCGACTTGTGGATGTCTAGGGAGAGGAGTGCTTTGCGAACCGAGCGCTGTGTGAACTGCACTTCCGGTATGGAGCACTCACATCGCGGGATGGTCGGTGGCGTACCCCCCCCCCCCGTCATCGAGAGTCGAGTTGGACGCAAAGAAATAGCCTAGCAGATCGGCTTTCTCCTTTGCAGTATGGGCCAATGAGTCGTCCTCCTTGTGCAGAGATAGAAGAGATGGCTGACAGAAATTCCCCTGGACAGCCTTGGCGAAAGACCGGAATGCACGGGTTCCAGAAGGAAGGCGAACTAGTTTCTCGCCAATTCTGCCTATGCGCTCTGACTTTGCCTTGGCAATGACTTTTTTGAAGGACCTGGAGGCGGAATTATACTTCTTTTTTAGAGCGCTGGTATTTACATCCCGGGACGTTGATGCGTCAGCCCAGGCTTGGTAGCTTTCCTGCTTATAGCATGATGCTATTTTACGGGAGCGACCAAACACTGGCTGAGATTTGCCACCGATGGGCACGACAGAGGAAGAAATAAAAAGTTCCATACCCTGAAGTACTACATCAGCGACAGAATCCGCAACAACGTTGGAATCGTCTGGCGGGAACCAAACCCGCCCCCAAGGGTAGGATGCGAAGAAAGACCGCATCCTATCCCAATCGGCTGACCTATAGTGCCAAACACGGTGATAGCCTGCAGAACGCAACTGCGATTTCAGGCACCACACTTCGGACAAGACGTCGACGGAAATCAGATATCTGTCTGGGTGAGAGGTCAGCAGAAGTTCCAGCAGGGAAGGTGCATGATCCTCCACATCTGGAATCCGCGTAGGCGAAGTAACTAGTTGTGTCAGACCATATGCCAAGGCAAAATCATGAACAGATCTCCCCGCATGATCGGTTAAACATAAACCATGCCATTCGGCGTGATGGGCGTTAAATTTGCCGAGTGCACCGATCGATGTGCAATAAAAACTAGAATTATGTGTTTGGTCTAGACTTTTTACCTACGTACTTAAAAGTCTAATATTGTAACCTTGTTATCTTCTCCATTGTTAGAGGATATACCCCTTGCATCTCTACGCAATATTTATTATCAACTTGACGGGGCACCGGCGCATTATGCTCGTCAAGTTAAGGATTATTTAAACAGAGAATACCCTGGACGCTGGATCGGACGTGGCAGGCCTTGTGCATGGCCTCCCAGATCGCCAGATATCATACCAATGGATTTTCATTTGTGGGGGCATGTAAAGACATTAGTGTATACTGGTCGCACACTCGAAACCCGCGACATGTTGAAAGAAAAAATAATTTGGGCATTCGATCAAATCAAAATGAATACTCAACTTTTATCTCGTGTCGGTGAACAGTTAACTTTTAGGTGTCACCTATGCATAGAATGTGTAATTCTAATGTATAAATTTGTATTTTAATATATTTATTGAACTCTTTTTACCTAAATATTTTTATTCAATTACTGTATTAAAATGTGGGTTAATATCTATCTGTATTTAATCATTATAAATATTTTATTGTAATATTTATAATTATTTTAACCCGCATCCATTTTTTAAATACAACTTGCATTCAATAAATAAAAAATAGCTAATAATACTCGACATTTAATTTGCACGTGCTGCGAACGAAAAGGGCAGGCGGCGCCTTTGATGACGCCTGTATCGACGTCGATATACCTTTGGCTTGGCCTTGGTCTGCCGCACGTGCGACGTTGCTTGAGGCGTTGCTAACCGCCGGAGGCGGCGTTGCCATCCGAAGGCAGCATTACTGGCAAGCAGTGATCGTAACAAACTACCTAAATGTTTATTAACAAATATCTATAAATTCGTAAACAAATTAATAAAATAATCAAATAGTTAATCAAATTGCTTTATGCAAAAAAGGAGTATATGAAAAGTTAATGTAAATTTGTCATTTGGAGTGGCGCCCTGGTACCATAGGCACAGTGGTGAATAGTTTAGTAGGCTGTATAAAAAAGTACTCTGTGGGCAGTAGGCACTCGCGACACAATCAGCTGAGTGCGAGCGTAGACCGGCGCGGCGGCGCGTCGAAGAGGTCATACTTTATAATTACCTATTGCTCATTTTAATATTTGTGATTTTTATGCTGCGGCTACACTAACAAGCAACGTCAATGCCCATAAACGCAACAATTATTGCCTTAAATTTAACGCGATTAAATGAATGGCTACACTTGAACGGTCAACGTCGTTTCCCGTTGAACGGCATTAAATTTGTCGTTGAACGGCGCGGCGTTAAATTTACCGTTGAACGGCGTTAAATGTTTCGACCGGGGAAGGACCACGCTCTCACAGAATACCAGCGTAAAATAGTAGCTTAATGCTGCTGTGTTTCGTATGGTGAGTGTAGAGAACCGGAGACCCTTTTTACTGGAAACGAGGCATTCCATCCTAGTCCTCACGGGTGACAACGCATCTGCATTTTGATTCGAATTCGAGGATATATGTAGATGTCTATAGGCTACAGCATCCACATACCATCAGGTGGACTGTGTGCTCGTTTGTCACCCTATCCTATAAAATAAAAAAATAAACAAAGAAAAAAAGAATACAAAGAATGTTTTATTATGTTTTATTTTGTTTTCCCGCACCCAAATTGCACTAGAAAGACGCCAATGGTTTAAGCTAAATAATAAAACAAACGTAAATATTTTTTAATAAAATAATAACTAATAAGCCAATCATAAATACTGGTCAAGTGCGAATTAGATACCACGTACCCACGTACCCAGGGTTTCGTACCACTGTACACTATGAAGTTTGACCTGCAAAAATTGTTTTTTTTTTCTCCTGCTTATTTTTCTTAGTTTCATACCGTAAATTAAAGTACTTTTGAAGTAATTTTTTTCATCATTACAGCCCTTCACAAGTCCACTGCTGAACATAGGCCTCCCCAAGTAATGCCACAAAGCACGGTCCTGAGCCACCTGCATCCATCGACTTCCTGCATATCTTACCAGGTCGTCACTCCGTCTAGTGGGGTGTCGCCCTACACTACGCCTATCGGTACGAGGTTGCCACTCGAGAACCTTTCTTCCCCATCGGTTATCGGTTCTTCGAGCTATATGGCCGGCCCATTGCCACTTCAGCTTACTAATCCGTTGGGCTATGTCGGTCACTCTGGTTTTACTGCGGATATCCTCATTTTTGAGTTTATCACGCAGAGAAACTCCGAGCATAGCCCTCTCCAGCAGTGAAGGACCACGTCTTAGATCCGTAAGTCATCACTGGCAACACGCACTGGTTGTACAATCTAGTTTTTAGAGATTGAGGTATACTTGACGAGAAGATGTGTCGTAATTTCCCGAACGCTGCTCAGCCGAGTTGAATCCGTCGATTGACCTCTCGGTCGAAGTTGGACTTACCTAGTCGGACTATTTGTCCCAGGTAAACGTACTCGTCATCAACTTCGAGCACAGTGCTCCCAACAACTACTGGCATAGGTGTGACATGGACATTAAACATGATCTTTGTTTTGTCCATGTTCATCTTAAGACCTATCCGTTGGGAGGCACTATTGAGGTCATTGAGCGTAGTGCTTAAGTCCTCCAGCGATTCTGCCATAAGGACTATATCGTCGGCAAATCGAAGGTGAGTGATGTACTCGCCTTTGATGTTAATACCGTATCCTTTCCAGTCCAGTAGCTTGAAAACGTCTTCCAATGCAGCGGTGAAGAGTTTCGGGGATATAACATCACCCTGTCTTACACCTCTCTGCAGTTGGATAGGTTTCGAGCTCTGGTTCTGTACTCGGATAGCCATCGTAGCTCTACTGTACAAACACTTCAGCACTTCGATATACCGACAGTCAACTTGGCACCGCTGAAGGGACTGTAGCACCGCCCAAATTTCGACGGAATCAAAGGCTTTCTCATAGTCCACATACGCCAGGCAAAGTGGCAGATTGTACTCTTCAGTAAATTTAATTTAAAAGTAGCTTTTATGTAAATGTATTACATTAGGTATATGTAAAAAGTGATCTCGCTAAAATCGTTTGTAATTATGCCACCATTATATTCCCAAAAGGTCTTTAGTAAATTAAAAATGACCCAGTATATAATACACAATATGCTACCCACTGGTGCATACAATTTCTTTTTTTGTTTAATTTAACACTCTTTCTTTAATATATTATATGGTAATAATATCTTTCTCAGATTTGACTATGGTGACGAATTCTGGGCAGTAAAATCCAAGTGGATGAAGTGCGAGTGTGGGTCTCCGGAATGTAGATATCCCACCAAGTCTATTGAAGATTAAACATTAATAATTACAGGATAAGAAAATTCTCATGATATTATTGTATCGCTTTGTAAGTAGTTCACTATTTTAATCAGTATTTCTCTATAGTGTAAATATATTATATCTCATATTAATAAATTAATAAACATACTACGTAATTAATAAAACTTTTATTAACTTCTAATATTAAATCTTTACCTATTTATCATTTTATGAAACCTGCCAATTTTGAGTTTGACTTGGAATTCCAAATTTATAAATAAAATTTGAATAAGAATATTTTTGGGACTTCCACCGAAACGCGAAAGTTAGAAGTTAGTTAATTAGAAGCGAAGACGTTTCACACACTAACGTTAAAAATTCAATATTCAAAGTGCTAAATTAATATTGAAAATTCGAGCCAGCTACCAGGCGAACAGAAAATACGTAGTGTTTAACAAAAGTGCTAATAAGTGACAAACATAAGTTGATACGTACACAAAGCTAGCTTACTTATGCTTACTTATGGATCAAGATAAAGGATAGTAAAAGGTAAATAATCTATTATTTACTGTTGTAACCACATAAACTTTAAACTAAAGTAACTTGATATAAAATGTCTAAGCTTATAAGATCACCCCCTGGCTGTAGCATGCATCATACCTTATCGGATTCTGATGTTTCCAATATAGTTCCGACTCCTGCTACACCGTCTTATATTTCTAAACGTAACAAAAGACAATGTGAGTCAAGCGACGAACAATTATTTTTCTTTAAAGATGAAATTCGAAACATGTTGGACGAATGGAAAAATACACAAAACTCGCTCATAAACAAACTAGTTTCAGATATTGCAGAAATAAAACAGCAAAACATACAGATTCAGCGCTCAAATTAAGAAATTGAAAAACCACCTTAATCGTATAAGATATGAAGAATACGGTTGGTTGTCTTGAAAATAAAGAAAAGCAACACCTACCATTCGAACGATAGCCTCACTCGAAGCGCAAATAGAAGATATGCATAGAGCCTCAAAGTCATCTAATGTACCTGTACCTACCTGCACATTAGGAAACTAAAGCTGACTTGTGTGATATTGTCCAAAAACTTGTAAGGTTCTTAATGTATTTGTTCAGGAACCTACTATTAAGAGGATTGTGAAACTGTAAATTTTCATAATTTTTGAAATGTTGTAGATATAACAAAAAACCAGGTCCGTACGTTTTAATTTTAAAGAAATATTACGTACGATGTAAGTTATAAGCATCTAAATATCTATATTTTTGACTTAAAAACTTCCTCGAGCGTTTTTAATTTTCTCAATTAAACTAAACTGATTTACTATAAAAGAAAAACAGGTACAGACCTAGACTAAGATGTACTGAATCTAATGGTACCAAAATTATTTTATTTCTTAAACATTTAGGGGGGTAAAAATGTTATCGCCCGAAACAATATTTCAATAAAGAAATGTAGGCAATTACTTCCAAGACTTGCAACTCTCTCTATCGCACGATAAGGGTCGGGAGGCAGGGGCATACGCATACTGATGTAGTTGTGGTTTGTTATTCGATGTTGGAGATTTTATCGATATACATATATGTATAGATTTGACGGCTACGTGGCGCAGTAGCTCAGCAATGAGTTATAGCGCTGAGGGCCGCGGGTACGAATCCCGCACAGCACAAGTATTTATATGACCTGCAAGTAATTGTTGCGAGTCTGGATGTTTGTCCTTATGCAATTTATGTATGTAAAAACTGCCTCCACGATACAGGAGAAAGTCCTAGTGTGGGGGTAACGTAAAAAAATTATAATTAAAAAAAAATAGGAAGAAAGTAATACCGAAAACCTACACAAATAATACTTCTTATGAAAAAATAATATCTGTGAATAACTTCAATAGGTATTTAGTCTTTTTATTTTAGTCTTTATTGAATAGGGACTGTAACTGAAAAAGATTTCGAGATTACACTTAATTAGGTAGGTGAATAAATAAAAAAGTAACAACTTGTGGAAATTATTTTTTTATTTCTACATATTACTTTATTACACTCTTTCTCGAGCTGCCATATTTCTAGGTACTCGAGGGTCAATCAGTTTTGGCAATAAACACTGAAAATAAAATGAGTTCCGTTTTGGCTGCATTTTTTCTGTCCTAAAGTGGTCATCGTACTTAATTTTTTCATACGCCAAAACATGTAGCGTCCATATACTACGAAAAAATAAAATTGCCTACCAGTGATGTGGAATTTTCCCTGGATCTGATAATAGTAACAATGATTTCTTTTTAAAATCATCTGTCCTCGTATCAAACAAAATTTGATCTTTTTTTAGTTATGGCCTCCACAGGTGGCATATTAGAAGCAGAAATAGGACATCTGACTTGAATTAGAGAGTCGTCTTCGATAAGTCCATCGGGTCTTGCCTCTAAATAATAATCATCTTAATCAATAAACAGTCCACACACAGAAACTTTTAGATTGGTAGTAGTGGAAAATTCTCGTATGGCCTCCGATTCGTGTTGGTTTCCATATTCGGTTGCCGTATTTCCTTTGAAATAAGTTTTCCAAATTTATATGCAGTTAGCCTTTTTCTCCGTTCAGTGTGCCACAAATCATTGTCACTCTTTGACCTCTAGTAGCCAATTCTAATTCATATATTTCGTCCTCCTTTATTTGCAAAGAAGCCAAAAACTCTTCTTTCTTTTCTTAAATCATGATTGGCACTGATTTTTATGTCAATTTTGATGTTTTTAATTTTTTCCACGTCAGTGATGTCTTCGTTCTTCCAATGTTGCACGGCGCCAACTACTGATTTTTTTATGGAATAGGATGACAAACGAGCACACAGCCCACCTGATGGTAAGTGGTTGCTGTGACCCATAGACATCTACATCTATCCTCGATTACGAATCAAAATGCAGATGCGTTGTCATTCGTGAAAACTTAGGTGGAATGCCTCGTTTCAGTAAAAAGGGTCTCCGGTTCTCTACACTCACCATACGAAACACAAAGCTACTATTTGACGCTGGTATTCTGTGAGAGCGTGGTCCTTCCCCGGTCGAGCCGACCCATTCATGCTAGAACTCTACTACTAATATAACTGCAGCATGGCTCTACTACGTAAAAGCGACGCAAAACATTTCTCACAACTCTTTTTCTTGTAGGTACCGGTAAGTAACCTTATTGGTTGTTAGTTTTCTTCCCCAAGTGCTTAAATTTGGAACAAAAATTTCGGAAAAGGTGATTTTTGCATTTTACTTTTTTAACCATGAGGTTAGAACCGTATGGCATAGTAATCAATAGTCCATTTATGATCCCAGAGTCGCCATTGTCCAGAGAGCAAAACCGTTCAATAAACAGCATCCTGATCAGCGTCTCAATAGTGCTATGATAGGATTCAAAGAACAAGTAAGACCAATTTATGTATCTGAAGCTTTAACGAACAAAGAGCGAAGATTATTTTTTAGTGTACCACCAACGGTGTACCAGTATGAAATATTGCCTCGCTCCGCTGAGCACGTCAAGCTTTTTATACACCAATTTCGCCTTTTTTTCCAAGTAACCGTGGAGCTGTACGTCATTCGATATGTTGATGCCGATGATTCCGAAGCTGGCTGAGGCAGCATAGGGAGTGACCAGAAACTTGAGGAGTTCCTTTTAATGGTGCCAAACGCACAAACCTGGGTCTTCTGAAGTTTAAACTGGGCTAGAGTAGTCCCTAATCTGAGATTTTGTTTAGTAAAGACTCGACTTCAGTCATAAGTTTGTTTCGATACTTGAAGACGTGCTAATTCAACGCTGCTGTAATTTTTCGGGCAAAAAGCATCACTAGAGCTGCGACCAGTAACAGCAACATATTTTAACTAATATACAGAAGAAACAACGTAAGTGATATCACGCAGCCTTGTGGTACACTACGATTAATAGGTTCGTAATCTGAGTATGCTCACCTACTACGACCTTGATGCTTCACTCTGCAAGAAAACCGATGATCCAATTGGTTACAATCCCTTCGGGAAATCCATTGGAAGAAAGCTTCTGAAGAAGCGTTTCGTGCCAAAGCCCGTCGAAAGCCTTCGCTGGGTTCAAATTAACGAACGATGCCTCCCTCTTGGACTCTAATGCTTCCGCTTATTTATGAGTCAGGTAAATTTGAAGATTAGAACTAGAACCAGCTGCTTAGAGAACGCATTGGCGGTCACTAATCAACTAGTAGTCCTCAAGGTACTTTATGAGCTGACTGTTCTCCGACTTATTCAGAACAAGGTGATGTTGACAAACCTGGACGGGTCTCAGCGATCGCCTTCAAAGGGATCGAGTGCACTAAAGCTGTTGTATTGTACGCGTAAAGTCAAATCACACTTTGCATTATATTTGTAAAAACAGTCTGCAATAAACCATTAGACAGTGAATACGTGTTTACTAAAGTGCGGTGATAGTGTTATTAAAAGAAGTGTGTTAAAACTGTGTCATTTGCCTATTGATTATAATTGAGTTTTATTCATGTTTATTTTTTAATTGTTTGTTAATGTATAACATTTGAACACTGACCTCTATATATACAAGTACGCTGGACTGGCTATATCATACAAAATGGCTGTGCCAATTTGAATCGCCGCTAAAGGATGTCTTGAAAAATAAAATTGACATAATATGCCAAAGTATGTTGTCTTAATCATATTGTCATATTTAATAAGTCTGTATTTTGAACTTTTAAACTAAAAAACGAAAGTATTTTATGTTGTTTGATCGTGTATAATATTAGTTATATAATAAGAATTATTTTCATTACTATGAGAGGGTGCGTCGTAATCTGTAAAACTCGTTACCAAAAGTTAAGTGGTATAACATTTCACAAGTGAATTTGCAGTAAATATTAAACAAATTAAAACTATTTAATAATAAAAGTACTTAGAAATTTGTTACTAATTTTAATATCATATATACCAACATGTTTAGCTGTATATTACTGAGTTTTGATAAACAATAAAATTCAATAGGGTTGTCGAGTTCCTTGTCTATAATACTTATCGA